TAGACTTGTTGTTGTTTCTTTACCTCAAAGTTGTGGGGTTTTTTTCTTCTCATTTTTCATAACTTTGAGAATCCAAAGTAACAGAAAATAATATTTGCTTCCTGTAAGCACACGGTGTTCTCTGATGAGCTCCCTCACTGAGGCAGCCTGGCAAAAAGTGTCCAACACTATTATTATTAAAGAACCTAAATGTCTCTGATTATAAGCCTTTTGGATCTGGCAGTTATTAAATGTAACAAAAAGACAGTGTGGATTGATTTGTCTTCGCTTCACTCGACCTCGCATGTCAGCACGTTTACATTTGGGGTCTTTGAGTTGGACATTCATTAGGCTGAGGAAAGTTCAATCAGCACATGCGAACACAAGTTAAAAGCTTTTCCTTTGGCACGTTGATGCATCATACAACAGCTGTCAGCAAAAACCATTCCACTGGCATAACATCAAACCTGCAAGATACATTTTTACTTTCATTTTTTTAAGGTTGGGTTTCTTAGAAAATCCCAGAAAGACACAAAGATAGACTGCACTAATGAAAGTGTGGAGCCATTTATGGTTATGTCACCAAAAATTTGAACTGGTCAGGTTTTAAAAATTTAAGTTAAACCCTTTAAACTCTGTGTTCATTTATTGTTACTTTTCTCTACAGTTGTTAAAAAAACTGCGCATCGCTTCATTGTTTCAGTGTTTTTACAGCTTAAATTAAAGCCCTTGCGGCTGGGTCAAACGGGACAGATGTCTGTGCATTGTTCAGTTTGTCAGAACCCCGACTGAAATCAGTGATTTCTCAACGTGAGGTGGTCTCACTGGCATGATAAACACAGGGAGATGTCCAGGGCTTAATTTGAGCCAGATCCTGCCGGAACAGGATAGGGTGCATTCCAGTAACTGTTTGCTTGGATCCGGTAACTCTCAGGCTTACTAATAATAAAGTTATGAGGAAATGTGACTGCCTTGAACAAATAAAACTCTTATGGATATGTAAACTGTAAATAATTACATAAACACTCATTTTAAACACAACAGTCATTTACGAGCGTATGATCTGCCTCGTCAGGTGGCATTTCCACGTTTCTACCATTAAAAAAATCTCCGCCCCTAAAAGAGTGGTGGGGGAGAGTGTCGAGCTAACCAGGCAGTCGTACGCAGGCAGGAGTCCAGACGGAGGAGGCGCATGGAGGTTTCACATGTGGAGTCGGACAACAACAAGAAGGGACAGTGTCAGGCTCAGAACCATCAAGTAGGGGGGGGGGGGGGTAGGATGCTCGACAGAAGAGGAGTGTTTATAAATGTAGGTAAACGTTGATATTTAACAACCTGTTAAAATAAATCAAAATACAGGAAATCACATCGATTTGTTCAATTTTTTCTGGAGGAGGAACCCCAGACCCATCCCACCCACCATTTGCATTCTGGCATTTATTGGTTTACACTTTAAGCCCTGGAGATATACATGTATATATTTCAACCAGAGGGCATTCAAGGAACTATCAGGTAAGATATTTACTGCTCAACCCCTTTCCACAGAACCCCACTTCAGAAGATCTGGACTCTCCCTTTTAAATAAGTAGCTTTTAACTTATTGCTCTCATCAGGTTAGCTCCGAACTAACAGCTGCCCTTTATCCACCACTCCAACAAACACTTTTCTCTCTATATGCCTTGAATGATATCAACTTAATGCAGTTCTCTTCAAAGGGAATTATTGGGCGTTGCGAGTTCACACAGAATCCAAGGGGGACAAGTTTCTAAACCCCATGCAACACTATGGAAGTTGTTTTCAAACTCAAACGGGTCTTGGTTAAAAAAGAAAACGTACACTGCTCTTGTAGAATATCTCATAAAGTATGAAATATATTCACTCATCTTCTCTGCTGTCAGTCAAAGACAATATCCTGTGAGCAGCCAGCAGCTTCTTATTATGCTAAATCAAACAAGGCAGTGGAATTGAGTTTGGTGTCCCAGTGTAACATAAGCAAATATAGCCTGACAACTCATATTGAAGGAGACTTTAAAAAAGACTGCCTTTGCCTGGATGTTGGGACCACGAAGACCACAGTTTGGGTTTAGCCACAGCCAGAAGATACCTTGTCTGCAGAGGGAGCTGAACAAACAACTGTCTAAGCCTCAAATCCACCAAGTCTGAAGGAATATGAGGAAGTGGCTTGGCATGATCCTGACCAGGATGTTCATCTGTGGGAATGTGTCTTGTGTGTGGAGCTCTTTGGATTTTCCAAGCAGCAGGAGTCAGGCAGAGGATGCAGCAGTCTCTGATAAAATAAAGTTATGCAGTATATTAATATGGGTTACAGATATTTATGTTTTACATAAGACAACTGTTCTATTTTCACTTTTATCACATAGTAATAAAACTTACAGGTAATTAAACAAAATAAAGTCTAACCTCAAACAGCCTGGTTTATTGACTGCTGAAATCATGGTTCTGCTGTGGGACTCTACTGCCCCCCTGTGGTGCCTCCCTGCTCTGCATCAGGCTCAACACACCATGGACACTGTTTGTAGAGACATTTACTAAAAAAGCTTCCAGGAAAAAAGCAATATGGGAAACTGGGTGAGTCTGCTGTTTCATAAAGGAAACTTGATTTTCAGCAACCGTGCTGTATTTATGTTTTATGGCAGCTCATATTGTGTAATTTATCCATTTAAAATAAACTATAGTCAGTTTATTCTAATAATCATAGACTGGAATACAGAAATGTAAGGACTTTGTTGCTTGCCTGTTCTATTATTATTATTATTAAAGAACAATTTTTGGGAAAACAGATCAATTCAAAAGTTAATAAGCTGTAGATGGACATATAGTAATTACTTTCAAAAGTTTCAATGAAATCTGTTCAGTAGTTCATGAGATGTGTTTAAATAGACAAACAGCATTGACTCAAACGGTTGTTTTTAAAGAGTTAAACCAGGATCTTGCTGTTTGAGCAGCACGTGCACATTGGCCTGGACATCTTTGTACAAGAGATTAATAATCTAAATGGAGTTATTTCCTGGTAAAATAAAGGTTTAAATGAATAAAAATTAATAAAAATTGGAGTGTTGTGAATGAGTCTCTACTACAACCACACCAAGTTTTATTGCAATATCTGTCAAACGGATTGAGCTATAGCTAGTTTTGTGTTTTCTGTGGGAGCCATCTTGAATTGGGTAGCTTCCAAACACTAATCTTTTGTAGATAAACCTCCAATAATCTTTTTCTGAATGTTTCTATAAAATATATTCAGTAGTTCAAGGGATATTTTGCTAACAGACAGAGCTGACTCCAAATACTTAATAGCAAATCTTTTTTGTTTTTTTTCACAAAGCAAGTTAGAGATCAGGTTCAGGCACTAACATACAAAAAATGAGGTCAGTATCTGCAAATGTGACAAAGTTGCAGCTATTTTTGTGTTTTAAGTGAGCTGGCTGTGGCAGCCATCTTGAAATAGGGTACTTCCTCTAGTTAATCAGTAGTAGATGTACACTGAAGGAGTACTTTCTGCTGGTTTGGTTCATGTTTGTCCGGAGGTTCCCTTAGATAATTAAATGATAATAAAAAAATTTGTAAATTACTTTTATTTGAATATATTCTGGGAAAAAAGGGGCAGATATAATTTATTCTTCTGCTGCCTTTCATTTTATTTTTTGATTGTATGGATATTTTTTTGTTTTCTATTGTATATAGTTATTTTTGTTTTTAATGAAATGAATAAATTTCTAAATAAAATAAAGAATTACAGCAGCCTATTTATAAGATGTTCTATGACTGAATACTAATACTGAAAAATGTAGTTTGTCAGGTTTACTTTAAAGCTAATCAGATAGTTTTTGTTGGAGACAGCAACTGTCCAATCCAAATATTAGTTTTGTTTATCGAGGCTCAATAAACTTGTTTTTTAAGGTTGAGAGAATTAAAAACTCAGTTTGACTGACTCATCTCAAACTAGTTGCTTCGTCATGTTTAACACAATCGTTTAACAGAAGTGCTGCAATATTTCTAACTCCCAAAGTTTTTTATTCACGTCTTGTACTAAACAGGGAACCAGACAAAGATGTGCATCATGACAGATCTGGAAGAATACAAGTTTAAGACAAAGTTACTTTTGTTTTATTGGAGATAATTAATCATTTATATTAAAAAGTCGAATAAATGTATATTTATATATTGATATATAAACAAATGGTGAAAAATGTGCTTGACGTTTTCAGATCTACTCACAATATTCAAATCAAGTTTCTCATAAAATCTAAATATTCTTTCAAATCAAAATAATACAAAGGTCAAGATTTGGATGTGCACAAAAAAAATAAAGATGTAAAGTGATCATGTGAGAAAACCTAAATGCTCAACAGCTCTTTCATCATGAACAATCCATTGTTCATAAATACAAAAATGCGCACATAGAAATATGAACTGCAATTCATGACAATATTGGGGTTATTTGATTATTTATTTCATCCAAACACCAGTGCAACAATACAGCACGCTGATTACAGCCTGGTCATCACAAGTTCCTCTTAAAATGATAACATCCTGCTGTCCGTCTTCTCCAGCAGTTCAGATTTCTTTAAAAATTATAATAAAATTAAGACGTAATTCGGTTTTAGACGGGCATTTATCATCTCCTTACCAGAATAATTTTACCCAAGAATTAATTATATACAATATACCTTCTCAGTATAAAAATACACATACTGTAAAGTATGTTTGAGAAAAGAAAAGCATTTAAAGTGTAGGAAATATAGTCAGAACAAAAATCAACCCGTGGGAACTCCTCTTGTTAATTCCACTGATGGTAGAAGGTCTAAGAGCATCTGAACATGGTATAAATAAACTAAAAGAAAAGAAAACATTAGAGCACCCATCTCAGAAGTCTGGAGAATACTGGACTGATAAATCAACACATTCGAAGCGTATGGCTTGTCTGGTTAAGAAGGCAACTCAAGGAACGACATTAGTAAGTGAAAGGATCCTGGTCACGTGAGACACGTGGAGCTGGGTCTGCAGAGCAAACTGAGGCGACCGGCTGGCTCAAGTCAAGGCCACTGTTTGCTCCGGCTCATCAATGAAAACACAAAAGGCCTGAGGACGCTTTTAAAAAGTCTCCTTCGTGTTTCACATAATTCTCCTTCGGCTACGTCTTATCATTTAGCAGATCAAAGAAGATGCCATCTGGAAGGCTCCGGGCTCGTGGTTTGCTTCCTTATAGTCCGTGCCTGAGACTGCTTCCTTCAGTCCAGCTGCTACTTGAGGAAGCCTTTATAAAGCAGCTGTGAGTGACTGGTCTCCCTCTCATTCTCCAAACATAAGAGCAGGTCCCGAAGGTTGACCCGTGTGATGCGCTGTCTCAGGAACGGTCTGGAGCCTGCTCCGCTGGAGCCTCCAGGCTGGGAGGGGCCTGACCCTGCGCCCTGTGAGCAAACACCAGAAATCCACTTAGCCTTTTACACACTTTTCATTTCATCTCTCGCAACATGTCTATGCAAACACAGGGCTTCTTAGCAAAAGGTCACCTCGGCAGTTGCACCCCTGACAGGGGAGTCAGCTTTCCGTTTTTTCCTTGGGCCGATTGCAGCCAGAGCTGTTAGGTTGGCTTCCCTCTGCCTGATCTGAGCCTCCTTCAGCTGCTCCATCTGAAAAAACACACCGCACAGATTATTCACACTCACAAAGGAAAGCAACTGTTCACACACTTATTTTAACATATAATTACCTCTTTGGCCTTCTGCTTAAGTCTGAGTTGTTCGGGGTCTTCTTGTCGTGACCTCGACTGCAGGTAATGCAGAGGACATTTTAATATTTCAAGATGGATATGTTCAATTCATTAAAATGACCGTTTTATTCATTCACTCACTCGTCGTTTGCATATCTTTTAGCTAGCAGCAGAGAAATTGTATATTAATGTAAACGACCCAAGATCACACTCTGACCTTATCTATGCAATTATATTTGTAAGATTCCTCCTGCCAGGTTTCTGTAGCCCTGTTTAAATAACGCTGAGCCACTCCAGGGACGTGTTACAGCCTCAAATTCATTATTTACATTACCGTATTTTTCACCATATAAGCTGCTCTCTTTTGCATAAATTTGCAAGTCCTATGACTTATACACCGAATATACCCTATAAGTCGGATCAGTCCATATTCGTCTAATAAAGTGGAAAAATCCATAAATATGTCACTTCACCATATACATCGCATTATTCTGCGTCACAGCTGACGCGTCGCGTTTGTTATGCGTCAGCGGTGACAACCTGGAAATGTGGGACGGTGTTGTGCCAAAAATCGATTGGCTGCCAAATGGCGGCCGCAGGAGCGCGCACAGGAGGACTTTAACAACAATTTAACAAGATTAACACTTAAAAACAATTATTTGTTTGCTTGAAATTATAGTAAAGGTGCATCTCAGTCTAACTTTTGCTTAATAAAAAGGACTTTATCGGTCAAATCAGCTGGATTTTAAAAGTATTGGCTGCCTCTGTGCTCCTGGGAGTGCACAGACAGGGAGGAAAAAAGAAAGGAGGAATGCTGCACGTTTTTTTTTTTTTTCCTTTTTTAAACAAGATAAGCACCTAAAACAATTATTCGTTTGCTCAAAATTATAGCAAAGGTGTGTCTCGGTTGAACTTTTACTTAATAAATGCACTTTAATGGTCAAATTAGCTGGATTTCGCTGGGGCGGCGCAGTGAAATGAAGCTGGTTTGATGGTTGCTCCAAGCAGCGAGCAGAACGAAGGTGGCAGGTTATGAAAAGCCGATTGTGTCACTAACAGCTGGTGAAGATTCTTAGTCATCCAGGACATGGTAAATTCAAAAAAGTTCAAGAAAAAATAAAACAATAAAGTATAAAGTATATTATTTATTATACTTTATACTTTGTTTTTTTGAATTTGTCATTATAGTCACTTTTACCCATTACATGATACAACGACACGCCTTAATACTCTGGTGCCATCTAGAGGCTGAACAATGGTAGTGTTCTTTTTTTGTCAGAATGAATGAAAACGGTCATATCTCAGACAAAAATTGGTTTATAAATATGGGGAAAAAAAATCCATAAATATGTCGCTTTGGCCTGTAAGTCGCAGGGCATGCAAATTATGCACAAAAAAAAAGTGACTTATAGGGCGAAAAATACAGTAATATACGTTTCCCCCCCCATATTTATAACTCAATTTTTGTCTGAGATCTGATGATTTCATTCATTCTGACATGGAAAATATTAAGCATTACCATTTACAGCTGCTTGAGGATCCTTATGGCAAGCCAAGTGTCCCATTAATAGGTAAAAGTGGCTATTAATGAGTCACTTTGCTTGCCATACCAAGCCACCTTCATCTCGCTCCGGAACTCCTGGAGCAAACGTCAAATCAGCTGCATTTCACCGTGCCGCCCGGGAGAAATGCAGCTGATTTGACCAGTAAAGTGCATTTATTAAGGAAAAGTTCAACTGAGACACAACTTTACTATAATGTTGAGCAAACAAATAATTGTTGTTAGGTGGTTATCTTGTTAAATTTCGAAGAAATGCACAGTGAGTGGTCCCTCTGCATGCTCCTGCAGCTGCAAATCGATTTCTGAAATGCGGCTGATTTGATTTGACCATTAAAGTGCATTTATTAAGGAAAAGTTTTCGAGCAAACAAATAATTGTTTTTAAGTGTTAATCTTGTTAAATTCCTGTCAAAGTCCTCCCGTGCACACTCCCATGGTCGCCATTTTGGCAGCCAATCGATTTTTGGCACAACACCGGCCCACGTTTCTGGGTGGTCAGCGGTGATGCACAACAAACGCGACGCGTCAGCGGTGACGCGTGATAGATGCGACTTATACAGCAAAGCGACTTGTTTATGCTTTTTTCCACTTTTTTAGACATTTTTGGACTGATGCAACTTATATGGCGGTGTGATGTGTATGGCGGCAAGTACGGTACTTTTTTTATTTCCCTTGTTAAAGATATATTTATGCTGATCCCAAATAATAAAGTCATAATATTTACTAATGAAGCTACAGACAGTTTCACAGGAGGTGACTCATCAATAATTAAACATAGATTATCCAGTCTAAATGTTTTTGTTTATAAAAATTAACAAAAAATAATAAATAAAAGGAACAGATGTGAACATGCATGAAATTGGCCTCTACGTCATCATTTCTAAAAAGCTCTACATTTAAACTCCACACCTTCAACGTGTATTACAACTAGACAGGAGCGTTACGCAAAAGTTGAAACAAAATCAAAACGTGCCCCCACTGGACTGGCTGCACAATAAATTTTAAGTCCATGTAAGCATAAGAGACTTTATCTGATTAAAACATTCAAATACAAACTCCAAACATTTTATTTTTAAGCGATGACATACAAAATGTCAAAAGTAGCACAATGTTGTTTATTTAAGTGTTAACTTTTGGGATTTCGGCCTTTTGAGTGTCGTAATGTCAGATTAACGTTTGTTTTAATACAATAACAATTTATTACTCACTTCAATGAAAATTTGTTTATGTGCTTTTAAAAAAGAGTGATCAAATTGACCTTAAAGTTTAGTTTATTATTGAATTAAAACTATGGAAAGTTTATCTCTCAACAATGACTCGTTTTATTATAGTTTAGAATAATATCGACATGCTGGAATAGTTAACAGTACAGTGCTTAAGTGGTTTTGACGTAGAGTGATTTATTCATGCGAGCTAAAATGTTAAAAAATATTGGTTTAGCTAAGTTCTTCTCTAGAATCCAAGCAGAGAGCAGCATTTTTTTAATAACTGAACTGTGGCATCAACAGCCAGTTTAAAGTCACATTAAATCCATCATCCAAACAGTTTCTGATAAAGGTGAAATGCTGATCATACAGAAAACAACTTTTATTTTCCAGCAGCTTATTTTATAATTATTTGTTGACCAAATATAGATTTTATTTTTTTAAACCTTGATTTTACATTTGTTCCATAAATAATTTCAAGCCATTTACAATAAACCAGTACGGAAAACTGACTATTTCAGGAGCATCTTTAACTGGTTAAATTCAAACTTTCTACATGTACATATCCAGAAATGTTTTAGTAAAAATATGTTTTTAAAGATGACATAATAGACAGTTACATCCACCAGCTCAGCAACTGTAGTATCAAATTCTGTTCAAACTTGTAGCTGGAAGCCTGTGTGTCAAACTGACTGGAGTCTTTTAGACCAGTTTAATATTTGCAAATGTACAAGCCAGTCCATGGGAATTTAAAAAATGGGTGTAATTTTTTATTTTTTTATCCACTGTGAATTTCTAATCACGCTAAAAATGTAGGCGTATTTTTTTATATACCCTCAAGAAAACATGTAACTTGATGAATGATTCCACAGGAGCTGTAATTTTTAGGGTTTATTCATCATGCATCACAACCTTTCCACATAAATAAATAAATAAATAAATAAATAAATAAATAAATAAATAAATAAATAAATAAATAAATAAATAAATAAATAAATAAATAAATAAATAAAGTACTCCGTTTACCTTGGCAGCCTTCATAAGTATCTCTCTTTCCTGCTCATCCTTCCGTAGTTTCTCCACCTGATCCAGCTGCTCGAAAAATTTGAGTTGGGCTCGCACGTTGCTGAGCTGCTCGTATCGCTCGTCCTCCTAAGGGTCGTGTGAAAACAGAAAATAAGAGAGATTAGGAGCGACTAAAAGCAAAGTACATGACAACTTCATTTACGTAGGATTATATTTTGTCTGACTGTATTTTTGCTTTTTAAATCCTTTCTTGATTTATTTTTATCTTTGTACCTTTTGTCAAGACTTTTATTTTTGAAAGCCGATAAATAAATATGATTTTCGTACAACTTGAAGAACCCAACTCTTAATCCATCATCACCTTATAACTTGTGTTCTTCTGTTGTGCCACATGTGATGCCTTTTCCAAGAGGACCCGCAGCCGTTGCTGTGTAGCATGGGATATGTAGTTAATCACGTGTGTGCCCAACTTGTTGACATCGAACTTCTTACCTGCAACAAAAAGCGAGTGTGGAGAAAAAGAAAATGAACGAGAGTCAACTTACCGCAGGAGAATGTTGTACATTTTGACACAACTTTCTCTCACCAATTTCCAGAGATATCCGAGTGAGCGAGGAGACGGAGAGAAAAGTCTCATCCACACAGGACCGAGTCACCATGCCGACAAGCTGAGAGCTGGTTGCCAAGATACGGGCGCTTTCCTCCGATAAGTTGACTCCTGCCATGGAAGCCACATCGTTGATATCATCATCATCCCTGTTTAAATAAAAGACTATAGAGTCAAACACAAAGAGCAACACAGTTTAAACTGTTTTATTTTATGTACTTTTGCAACAACAAAAAAAAGGGCAACCAGTATTAGTAGTATTGTAACAATTTGTTTGAAAAACAATAGAAATTTACCACGACCATCATTCAAATATGAGCTCTTAATGTTCTTCCAACTACCTCTGGCCTGAGATCAGTAAGCTAACGGAGAGCTGCTTATGTGTACGAACTTAGATATGGAGAAATCTGTTGCAAACCTTACTTTATGTTATGTGCCAGCAGACCTTTGAAGATGTTCATTGAAAAAATAAAACAAGAGTACTGTATGGTACAGTGTAATGTATGGAACATTATATGCTTGTCAACAAACTATTATACAGCCATCTATAGCAATGGCCTGGGCAAGCAAAGACCTTGTCTAACATTTGACCTTGATTTGTGATGTTGGCGTTAGAGGTGGGGTGATGAAAAGTGTATTTGACACAACAACTAGTGCATGAATGTATGAAGCTTTGTTAAATTATCTTGAGCGGATCATAAGTTATGGATAGGACAAAAGAAAGTTCACGTACAGAAGTTAGGATGGATGAACAGACGGCACCATAAAACGTTGGCCTTCGACGGGGATATGAAAACCACAAACCTGAATGTTCCTCCTGCCGCTTCCTTCAGATTGTTCTTCTGAGCATCGAAAACAGAGGCTTGACTGAGCACTTGAACTCCTCTGACCCCTGGAGCCAGCGGTTGTTTCATAACTAAAAACCAGAAATGGAGACAAAAGGTTCGTTTTTGCAGCTCATCAAGAAGAATCAATTATATTAGTTATTAAAGTTGACTATGTACGTGCTAAAGTCCAAATTTCGTGAAAAGTGATGTTTAAAAAAATAATTGTGTCCCACTGGGACATACAAGCAACAATCCAGTAGATTATTAATCTGGTAATTGCACAAAACATAAATTTAACATGCGTAAAATACATTTTACAGAAGAAAAGACTTGAACACGCACCTGCTGGCATTTGTTTAACCACCTGACCAACAATTATGCGGTTAGGAGCTTGACCCCTGATTGCTAGCATGGGAGATTGAGTCAGCGTCACCTGGGGCCTCACCACAGTCCCCTGTTGCTGGGGCACAATCTGCACACATTTACAGAGAAAGAATGAATAACACACAGCGGCTAAAGCAAAACTCTCAAAGCCGTGTTTGCACATCCATGTGCATGCCAACTGTGTAATAAAAGTGTCAGGAGCATACCAGTCCAGGTTTACTGTTGGGCGTCTGCGACAGGCTGATGACGGTAGTTTTGGTTGTGGCCGTGCCTGTGGTGGCAGCGGAGGAGAGGGGAGGTCGCAGTACCACAGCGCTGAGGGCAGAGGAGGCTGGGGCAGCAGGCTGAGTGCTTGGCAGAGGCAGCAGGCTCTGCTGGATGAAGGCCTCAGTGTCTGGAGTCATCTGACGCAGAGCTGGAAGACTTCTCTACAGGCAGTAAAAGGAAACAGAGGAATAATGGTTGTTGTAGAAGACACCTGTAATATTAGCTACAGAAGAGACTAAGTCCCTGCAGTGTGAAAGAATGACCGTTCATTTTGCTTTAGCTTTATTCTTACAACACTTGGATATATATTGCCTTCTGCACCGTGTTGTGCAAAGTTGTTGTTGTTGTTTGGCCTTTTACAAAAAGTACGTTGAATTTCTTTATGTCACTGCTTTAATATGCTTTTGATCAATAAGGACTGAAAAATTTCTCATACCTCATGAAGAACATGTTGGCTTGCTTTACAATGAGCCTCATTATTTCTGACATTGGTAGAAATATTGAGAACGTTAAACTATTAATGCGTCTTTCACACTGTGGGTCAAGGTTCAGAACAATTCAGCAACTGCTTTTTCAGAAAGTCTTTATCATATCTGATCCTTATCAAACTGAACAATTTTATCTTTGTTTTCACACTTTAATAGGTGTATAACCAGCTCAAGTATTAAAGTAGTCTACTCTGTTATTCGGTGATGCTGATTATTGATGGAAACCACAAATGACCTGAACATGCCTCAGTGTGTTTGTGCATGTTGTCTAATGAGCACAATATCTTCATTACATTAATAATTTAGCCTGTACGCCACTTCTTCCCCTTTTTGAGCTGACCTGCTTATTACTGGATGACCCATGCAAAGATACAGCACAAGAAAAACACAAGAGAGAAAGAAAGAGAGCACTGTTTTTCTTTGATTTTTTTTTTTTTTTTAATGATATGAAGCTAAACAAGAAGCATATTAGCTTGTTATAAACATATTATCTTGTTTTGCTTTGGTTTGTTGAATTTTTATAGCTGGATAATATTTTATTTAAACCTGTCATACTATATTTGTTATACACTGATAATAAAACAAAAGACCGTCTTTTCAGAGTCATCTGTAAATGCGGAAAACCGTTTTAAAAACATCACAAAAAAGTTTAATCGTGTCATATGAACAGTTAAAACTAAATAAATAAAGAATGTCCAGATGACTTAACTTTTTGGTGATTTTTTTACCTGGATGATTGAGCCTACTTACTCTTTTTCTGTTTTAAAAATATATCTTTAGATTTTTTTGTATTAAAATACTAAAATGAAGATTTCTGACAACATGCTAGAATTATATATAGTCATAATACTGTTCACGTGGTATAACAATGATTCTTGAAAAACCATTAACATCTGGATGTTTTCTGTGTGGATACATTACTGTATATTTGTGCCGGCTCTTTTGCAGAAATTCAGGATGTTATCAACCACACAAAGAGTTTCACAAATTAAACAAACTACTTCTGTAACAACCTGAGCACACTTTTGAACAATAATCACAAGTTGTCCTTTAAACAGAGAAATAAAAGAAAACAACCAAAAACATGCATGTTAGGCTGCCTTCAGGCCCAGGGCTCCCTTGCAAAAGAGATCTGTGATCTCAATGGGATTTGCCTGGTTAAATAAAGTTAATAATAACTGAGGTTTTAAAAACAATTTGTTGAATAACATTTTTTTTTAATTATACAAAAATGTGCCGCTCAGCTAAGCAAGCCAAAGATATACATTTATAAATATGGATGTAAAGAAACAAGGTTTACAACTTAATGAAAATACCAAACTGACAACTATTAAACAAAGATAAGACCAAAATATTTTGTAAACTTGTAACCTGAACATGAAACAATTGTCATTTTACAATTTACTGCATATTTTTAATGTAGTTAAGTGACTAAACTTAAAAACATCGACTTTATGCAAAAAAGCCTTTTCCCCCAAATATTTGTGAATTTTGGGGTGTCATTTATCTTACCTTAAGAAAAGGTACAAGGTATGGCTGAGGTGAAGAGTTTAGCTCCCGATACAACCTACTGGTGAAATCCTCAGGCTCTATCTTTGCTTCCTGTTAAAATAAAGAAAATGGTTCAAGGAAAAAAAAGCCCACCATAAACTTAAAGACAAATACAGATGTGAAAAAATAAAAATACCAGCAGGCTCTTGACCAGCTCCTTGACATTTGCCGTAGTCTCAGATGATTGTTTTCCACTGGATGCTAGCTTGATAAGTGTAGAGAAAAAGTTTCTACACTTTTTTACGTTCTCCAGTGTTTCCTAAAAGAAGCAATAAAAAAAAAAACATTAAATTAAATTTAAAACCTACAGAAATACATGAAAAATTAAGTAACTAATTCAAGATTCGTAGGTCCACCTCCCACCCAATTCCATCCATCCATTGTCTTTCTCTTGTTCTGGAATTGGGTCGCAGGGGTAGCAGCTAGAGCAGGGAGGCCCAGACATCTCTTTCCACAGCCACCTCTTCTAGGTCTTCTGGGGAGATTCCAAGGTGTTCCCAGGTCATCCAAGAGACAGTCTCTCTAGCATGTCCTGGGTCTTCCCTGGGGCCTCTTCCCAGTTGGATATGCCTGAAGCACCTCCTTAGGGAGGTGCCTAGGGAGCATCCTTACCAGAAACTTCTACAGTACTCCTGAATAGACCTTACCAGGAAGGCTAAGGAGAGTGATGCCTCTATAATAGGAGCACACCCTCCGGTCCCCCTTTTTGAAGAAGGGAACCACCACCCCAGTCTGCCAATCCAGTGGTACTGCTCCAGATGTCCATGTGAGTTGCAAAGGCGTGTCAACCAAGACAGCCCCACAACATCCAGAGCTTTTAGGAAATCAGAGCAAATCTCATCCACCCCTGGAGCCCTGCCGCCATGGAGCTTTTCAGCTACCTCAGCAACCTCAGCCACAGTTATGAACAGACCAACCCCAAAGTTCCTTGACTCCACTTCCTCTATGGAAGATGTGCCAGTGGGATTGAGGGGGTCTGAGAATTATTCCTTCCACTTCCCGACAACATTAGTGGTTAAGGTCAACAGCGTCCCTCCCTCACTGAAAACAATGTTAGTAAAGTGCTGCTTTCCCTTCCTCAGCCGTGTGATGGTTTGCCAGAATCTCCTTGGAGCCAATTAGGAGTCCCTATCCAAGTCTTCACCAAACTCCTCCCACATTCAAGCTTTGCCTCAACAACAGCCAGGGCTGCAGCCTTCTTGGCTTGCCGATACTCTTCAGCTGACTCAGAAGTCCTAGCAGCCAACAAGGCCTGATAGGACTCCTTCAGCTTGATGGCCTCCCTAACCCAAGGTGTCCACCAAAGTTTAAAGATTGCCAGCCACAAAAAGTACCAACAACCTTGCGGACACAGCCCAAGGACACTGCCTCGACAACAGAAGAATGAAACATGGCCCACTCAGACTCAATGTCCCTCGCCTCAGTTGGGATGCAATTAAAGCTCTCTCGGAGGTGAGAGTTATGAGGTGTGAGTTATTTTAAGATCTTTATGGTCGGTACTTCTGCCAGGTGTTCCCAGCAAACCCTCGTTACATATTTGGGTCTACTGGGTCTGTCTGGCATCTTCCCCTACCATCTAATCCAACTCACCACCAAGTAGTGATCATTAGACAGCTCAGCTCCTCTCTTCACCTGACTGTCCAAAAAATATGGCTGCAGATCAGATGACATGACTACAAAGTCAGTCATTAATCTGCAGCCTAGGGTGTCTTGGTGCCATATGCACTTATCAATACCCTTTTGTTTGAACATGGTGGTTGTGATGGACAAACTGTGACTAGCACAGAAGTCCAAAAACAGAACACCGCAGAAGTTCAGATCAGAGAAGCCGTGCCTCCCAATCACATCCCTCCAGGTCACACTGCCATTACCCACATGGGCATTGAAGTCCTCCAGCAGAATAAAGGAGTCCCCAGCTGGAGCACCTTTCAGCAACCCACTAAGAACTCCAAGAAGGCTGGATACTCTGAACTGCCGTTTGGTGCATAGGCATAAACCACTGTCAGAGCCCATCCCACCTCAAGGTGCAAGGAAGCTACCCTCTCACCTGCAAGGGAAAACTCCAAAACACAGACACCAAACTGGGGGAGCTAAGAGTAGACCCAGCTCGGCATCTCTCACTACGGGCAATTCCAGAATGGAATAAGGTCCAGCCCCTCTCAAGAAGATTGGTTCCAGAGCCCATGCTGTGTGTCAAGGTAAATGGACTGTACTTATTTAGCGCTTTTCTATCTGATCAAGATACTCAAAGCTCTTTACAACACAATCTGTGCCCTCATTTACCCATTCATACAGCACTCTACTAGATCTGTACAAAGACTAATCAGAGCTTTAAATCACATTCAGACACCAATGGGACACACAACGGAGGCAATGAGGGGTTCAGTGTCTTGCCCAGGGACACTTCAACATGTGACTGATGGTAGAATCGAACACCCAACTCTCGCATTGGACAACGACTGGTCTAACCACTCATCCACAGCCACCCCAAACTATGAAACTAGGTGAACCAAACTATTTCTAATCGGTAACTTTCAACCTCATGCACAATATCAGCATCCTTCCCCACCAGAGGGGTGACATTTCATATCCCAAGAGCCAGCTTTGGTAAGCCAGGGTCAGTGCGCCAAGGCTCCTGCCTTCGGCTACAACCCATGGAACTTTAGACCTGACTTGTTTGGCCCCTCCTGCAGGTAGTGGGCATGTTGCTAGTTCGAGCTGAGCCCAACTGGGCCCCATGAGTAGAATCTCGGTCACCAGACACTCACCAACGAGGCCCTCCCCCTGGCCTGGATCCAGGGTGGGGCCCCGGTAACCCACGTCTAGGCAAGGGACATTGAGCTCCCTGTCGTTTTCTGTCCATAAGTCATTTGAATCGCTCTTTGTCTGACCTGTTACCTAGGACCAATCTGCTTTGGGAGACCCCTACAAGGGGCAACTGCCCCGACAGCAAAGCTCTTAGGATCATTGAGGCTGTCAAATGCCTCCACCACAATAAGGTGGCAATTTTTTTTAACAATTTACAGAAAAAAACTATTCTAGGTTTACACTTCTCACTTACAGCTGTGACTGCTGTTGGAGTGACAGGTGTTGCCTTGGCCCCGAGGGCGCCCATCCTCTGGGTTATTGCTGCTGCAGGCTGGATTGTGGTAGATGCTCCGGTGGAATTTCCTCCCAGTACAATGGTATTCTGAATGGGTCAGTGAATATAGAGATGATGGTCAGTGATATAGAGATGTAATTGAAATGTTTTAACTTTAAAGGGAATTCCTATGACAACTTGGAACATTTTCATTTCAAGAGAGGGGAAAAAAAACCAACCAATATGAACAATGTGATTCTTAAAGTGGGGAAATTATAAAAAAACTGTCAAAACAAAACAAAAAATATGCCCACAGTTCTAAAAAGATTTATACTTTTACTGCATTATTCAAAATCAAATCATGATAACTACAGAATCTTTAGTTTAAAACGGCTTCATGGCCTGCATTTCTCTTTCTTATCAGAAGGACATCAGTCTGAAATAATCTGACAGAGCGGCACAATTCTTGGAAGAGCAGCTAAATCTTTATTTAATTTCTCATTCAAGGAAACAGCAGCACTACAGTTTGAACATGTGCCTTTTTCACAAGATCTAGAAATACAAATAATCAATTAAAAAGCTAAAACATGTATTTCAGAAAACAACTGAATTAAAATGGATGGTAAGTGATATTATCAGTCCACTGTAGATGTTTTTTCCCATTTAATTCCGTGTCATTTCAGTCCAAACTGAAGCAAATGTGTTTTAATTTAAATAATCTGTGAGCTGATAGTGACTTAAGACAATTAAAAATATAAAAATGTATGTACCTTCAACTCCAGCTTTACAAAAAATATATTCAACTCAGTAAAAACACATTTTATATTTGTTGATATATTGTTTTTTTAATAAAACGTGGTTTGCCAATAGTAAAACTATTAGACAGTTCAGTATAATACCCATTAATTGCACTGGGGACATGATATTTTTTACTACGGAAACAGTTTCTGATACCATTACCTGCAGTATAGGAGGTCTCTGCAGTGTGGTGGTGGCTGTGACAGTGGCCTGCACAGAGGAACCTTGTTTGATGATGGTGGTGGGGGTTACAGGACGACCCAGCAGTGATGCACCTGGAGTCTGCAGAACAATTTTGGAGAGGGGAAAAATACAGCAGAAAAGTAAATCATGATGCTTCGATTCAAGTCACAGAATTGGGTTGTGTTTAATATTTGACCACTGTTGTGAATAAATGATCCAATCAAGGTAAAAAGAAATAAAGACAAATATGTTTTGTCTTTTCCGCAGAACCAATTCCAAATCAAATGTCTAGCGTTGTGTAGGAGGCTGTACAACTTCAGTCCTATTTTTCATTTTAGAATCTGCATACATTTAGACAAGAAACCTCATCCATCTACGTGCAATGAGGACAATTATGTCCGACTTCTTAGCAGTGCACTTGCGTAACATTTTTATGAAACACTATAAAAATTTACCGAACTTTTCAGTCACAATAAATAAAACCAACAGTATGTTCTCCCTGATATATGGTTGTTGGTGTCAGTGGTGTGTTCAAGTACTGCTAATTAAATTTGTGATTCTCTGTATAGCACAAATGAGTCACGTTTTCTGCGTTTGCCTGTGCCATTGTGTCCAGCAGACCTGTACCTGTAGAGCAGTGACCTGCACAGGTGGAGTGCTGGTGGGGGCTGCAGGTCGGGGTGTCATGGCGCTTTGTGACTGGGCCTGAGCTTGCATCTGAGCCAAGGTCTGCTGGTGAATCATCATCACGTGCCCACTCTCACTGCGAATGAAGACCATGCCTGCATGAGGCAAATGACAAGTGGATTAGGAAATCAAAGTCACAGCTTTGTGTCCTTGTTGGTTAATAGACTTATGTGTGTATGGATGTTTCTTTTGGTCTTGAAGAGGAGGCATAACTGAAGTCACCTTCATCCTGTGACACACATAATTTTTATTCTATCAGTAACAATTTAGAAACATTCTCACAACAACTCCTCAAGGTGAAGCTTTTATCAAGCCACTGGCATTTTCTTGTAAGTTGGTGTTACTGCACACTGGAGCATGGTCGCTTTAGTCAGCCAATCAAACACGTAGCTTGTGAAATGAGTGGTTTGACTCTTGGAAATAGTGGCACAGTGACTTGTAACAAACCAGTTCAGGTTACAAAATGACCAAACATGTTTAAAGTTTAAAAACTGATTGCTGTGGTTTAATTGGATCCGGCCACTTCTGGATGGAACTGCTTCAAATTTGAGCCTTTTAACATTATATGGTCTCTTTTGTCCACTATTCGCCTATAACATTTATCACAAAACGCTTGATTAGTCAATGAACTATCAGAATACAAAACCAGTACAATATTGGAGGATTGGGAACCTCGCCCCAAGAATGTGCGCATTATCTAAAGCACACACAAAAGACAGTTGAGAGATACTCAGTGAAAAGTTAGATAGGAGGACAGAATGTTATTGTGTCAAAACGGCAAAGAAAATGGACTCAGCAGTTTGGTACAAAATGTCCCTTAGCTAAACCATACCAGGAATAAATAGTCTTACCATCCTTTAGTGTTTAAACTATTGAGTAGTTAGAACGTTATCAAAACTGTTGCTGTGACCCCAGAAGACTATCAATAAGATGTCATTTCTGCTTACAAGTGTCTGAAACTATCTGAAGCCTGAAACAACAAGTCAAAACAGAACCTACATTTTTTGTTTGCTAGTAACAAACTCCATGCATGATATTGCAGCGTCAACCAAATGGTTTCATTTTCTTCCAGATGTTTGATTTTATTTTGATCGTTCCTACCTGGATGGAGCTGGTAGTTTTGAATAGTTGTGGCATTTCGTTGAGGCTGACTGAGCCGAGGACCCAACACCTGTGGAGCAATGGTTCGTATCCCACCAGAAGGAGTGACAGCGATGGTTGGTGAAGCTGTGGTCCTCACGCTTTGCAGGACAGGCGGACTCCTCACGATCGTCCCAGTCCCACCAGTGGAAGCCACGACTTGGACTCCGGTTTGCATTATAGTTTTAGTGGAGTCCGTTTTGTTGACGGGGGTAGAGCCGGTCATTGCGCAGGTGACACTCGCGCTTGGTGAGGATGTCACCGTGGCTGGGTTGCCTGCGCTTTGTGCGCCATTAGAAGTTTGCATAGGCGGCCTAACGAGCGTGACTGTGGGTACGGTTGTCACTGCAGCCGAGGTCACGGCGTTTTGTGCACTTAAAGTAGTTCGGAAAACTGTACCAGCTGCTTCTTTGCTGGCGGAAGCAGGTCCGTTGACGTGCGGGACAGCGGGCGCTGAGTTGTCGGACTGTTGTCCGCCTCCACCGGGGATCTGACAGCTCGTCGCCGTGCTTCCATTTAAAGTTTCATCACCAGCCGGGCGAATCGTTTTCTCTGATACTACAACTCCGCTGGCTGTGGCGGGCTTGGACTGACTCGGAGCCGCCGTCATGCTGCTCGGTTCAGCCGCCGAAGAGTCTCCAGCTGCCCCATCCATGCTGGAGACCCCGCGCTGACTGTTGCTGTCACCTGAAACTCCCACCCCTGCTACACCAGCGGAAACATGACGGAGCGAACGGCTTTAAGATACGCTTTAGTTGGGGAATATACTGGGAAGTGAATTCAAGTCAGCCGAAGTCACTGAACAACGTAACTAAAACGAGCTAGCTAACCGGAATGCGCAACTATCTTGCCTATTTTTTTTTCGCAAGCTCTTGTTGTGAAAGTCCGTTTTTGCTGCCCGGAACAATAAAATGATTAATTACAAGAGCTGTCAACGTGATTTTCTGCGAAATAAAGACCAGATGTTAAGTAAGGGTCACTTGCTTCTGAACGTTCTGAGTCTAGAAATCTCAACAGCTCGCTTACTACTTTTATGTCCACCTTTCTGTTGAAGAAAACATCTCCCAGCAAGTCGGAGCCCGCCGCCATCTTTGCCTGGCTACGCTTGTTCGTGCGACGCATGCGCTGATTGGATGCACCCTCCATGACGTAGCCTCATCGGGCGTTGTGATTGGTTGATGCAAGAAAATGAACTGGAGTTGCAGAGTACGACAGAAGAGCTGTCAGTTTCACAGAGATTGAAAAGTCCCGCACTGTTTTGCTCTCTGATCTGTCAGAAGTTACGTGAGCACCAACAGGAGGTTCCCTGAGGCTTTATGCTATAAGAGTTAAATAATATCTACGTATAATAAATTTCAGCAATAATCACGTGCTGTCCTTTATGCAAAACAGCTATTTTAATTAAAAAAAAATTACACAGTTGAAGCGGTTGGCAATGTGTCCACTCCTTTTAGTAGCACCGGCGCATGGCACGAAGCTGACCGGAAAAGGGAAGAGGGAGGAGTTTGTTTTTTTTTACCGGCAGGAGAAGTTACAGCACTGTATTTCAGATCAGAGCAACCAATAACTTAGTTTAAGTGATACAACTGAAAACAATAATCTCAAATACACAGATAAAAACCAAACGTGTTCTTCAACTTTGGAGACTCCCAGTGTCACTAATTACGCTGGCGCATAAATGGTGCGAACCCACTCATTAAAGTGGCGATGGCAGGTGAGTTTAAAAAAAACAATCAGTGGGCGTGGTTTCATGACACCTGTGAACGCCTATAAATTGTTTCCAGATTGTTGGTTGAGGCGTGTATTGTGTTAGAGCTTGGGTTTGAAAAAAAAGTTACGTTTTTATTTTGACTTCCATGCAGCCATGGCTTCAACAAAGCCATACATTGGCTGTAAAATAGGGCTGATTTCCAAAGCCCAAAATCGATATGAGGGCATTTTGTATACACTTGATAAAATCAACTCCACAGTTGTGCTGGCAAATGGTGAGTGGTGTGATCTAGCTTGATGTCAGAAGAAATGTTAATACAATCCAATAATGAAACTGTGTCTTTTCCCTTCATTTAGTGAAGTGTTTTGGAACAGAAGGACGGCCCACTGACAGGCCAACGCCAACCAAGGAGGATGTCTACGAGTACATAACTTTCCGTGGAAGTGATATCAAGGATATCGCATTGTGTGAATCTCCAAGATCTTACGGCCTACCCCCAGATCCTGCAATAATTCAAGTACTGTAAACGAAACTGCATGACTCAAGCTCCTGTTGAATATGTGGTCATTTAACATGTTTTTCAGTCATCCAGCGCAAGCTCCTCGAGTGTCTACCCAGGACTTGGACGGTTCAGCCCTCTAGGGATCCCCTCCTATAACCAGCTTGCACCCAACTCCCTTCTTAACCAACAGTACGTGGCTGCCGCTCTTGGTCTGGGTAAGTCTTCTGGCAAAGGTTGACTTCAAAGAAGCTACACATAAATCCACACTGCTTACTTTTTTTTTTTAGATGGAGTTGTTCATGGCTGTGCTCTTCACGCAGGGTCCGTGCTTCCAGACCTGCATGCTAGACGACGCCCCATGGTGGAAAAAGCTGTTCAGACTCTTCAGATGGAAAAATCTGAGCAAATAAGAGGTTTGACAATGTCACAGGAGCAGCAGTGGAGCAGCAGGAGACCCCAGAGGAACAGGAGAGGGGCCTCTCCTACTCAAAGGGATGCTGGGTCCACCAGTAAGTCTGAAGAATTGCGATGGCTAAAGCCAGTATAATGTGTCCTTTTTTGAACTAAATGAAAAGTGGCATATTTAAATGCCAAATATTTACTTGCATAGATGGGTGTGGTTAAGCGTAGGTGTCTTATTTATTTCTTTAAAATAAGAAAATTCAGGCCCAGGTGTGAGCACTTATCAGCAGGAACCACCACAGCAGAACACTGAAAACAGGCCACCACACAGAAGAAGGCAGGGTAATTTATTTAAAAACAAGTTTACAGTGATGAATTCGTTAAATATATTCATATGCAATAACTTGTGTTCGCTCTAGGAACGCGGAGACGCAGGGGCCGAGGTAGAGGCCAGCCAATGGTGCCCAAGGCTCAAACTGCGATCCTCAAGTTTGACTCTGACTTTGACTTCGATTCATCAAATGCACAGTTTATGAAGGAGGAGCTTGAGCGAGAGGTGATGGAGAAGGCAAACCTCAAAGGTATCTTTTGAGCTAAAGAGCATGACAAACGAGTGGATTCTTGTACCTCAAAAGCAACAGTTACAATGACCGACTTTTTAACAAATTCACATAACTTAGGCAGACATTTGTGCAAGGATTGAAGAACCCACATTGCATACAACATGAACTTTAATCAAAATCATAATCCTCCTTTTTAAGGCCTTTGGCTGCACTTTGGATCAAGTTTCAGTAAGCCTAATATTTTGCTTTCTTGCAGATGAAAATGATGAGCCGGATAAATCAAAAGAGAAGACTCCTGCACATCCAGAGGAAAATGGTTTGGTGACAAAATGCTACTACAACAAAGCAAAGTCTTTCTTTGACAACATCTCGTCTGATGGGCTCAGGTGAGCTGGTGGTCTTTGTTGTTCAGCTCGCTCTCTCCCTCTCTGTGATTTAGAGTTACAGATTCTTTTTTTTTTTTTTTGTGCACTGATTAGTTTCAGGTTGACGTGGGCAGAGGAGCGGAAGCGAAATCTGGAGACTTTTGGAGTCACCGGTCGGTTCTTTACAAGTCCAGGCTTCAGGGGTCCATATGGTGGACGAAGAGGACGAAGTGCCATTCAGACACTTTAATCCTGAATGAACGTCTGGTCTGACAAAATGATGTATCCAGTTTCTAACGAGAGTATGAGCTATATAATTTTATTTTAGTCTCAGTGATGGGACAAATTAATTTTGGCGATTACTTGTTTTGAATATAGGCCATACCAATGATGTTTCTTTTTGTTGTAGAGAAATTGTTTAGATCGCTACTTATGATTTGCTGCTCCAGAGTTCCTTCATTTAGTTGTTTGTGGAAACTGATTTTCCTTTAAGTCTTTGAGTTGTACTTTTTTTTTAATTTAGAATTGTAACTTTGGAGAAAATTATCAAACATTTAAACTTTGAGTTCCTGTGGTTTTTTTTTAATTTTTTTTTTTTTTTATAATTCATGCTGACCCATTGAAGAGGTTATTAAATGTGTTGTAGCATTAGTGCTGAGCCTAAAACTGGAGGGAATGTATGTCAAATCTCTGTCCAGAGAAGTTTAGTCCTGGGAACAGGAATACTGTGCAGAATACTCTTCCAGGTCTGGCAGAGGACCTGCAGTTTGAAGTTAAAGTGTACTTGCATATGGAAAAGAATTAATATAAACGTGGGTCAGTGTGGACTGTCTAAAGCTTCCAAAATCGTGCGCCTCTACAAATTAAAACTAAGATTAAAAATTGTTAAATCACTATTAAAAATCAGTCTACTTTTAATTTTTACCAGTATATAAATAAAACTAGGCACGATTCAACAATTTTACACAGTACACTCGTGTGTAGCCAACTAGCCATGTATTTATTTTATTTTTTCAATGTCTTGGAAATGTATTTGGGGGAAGCTGGACAATTTAAAGATTTCAAGCTGATAAAAATGTGAACTTTTTTTTTTTTTTTGAGAGGAAGAGGCAGTCAGGAAATGTCAGTTAACGCAAAACAAAAACCATAATTGCGCTTCTAAAACCAACTTAACCACCAAAGCCTCCTCGGAGCGGTTGAGCGCTGCACAGCAGCTTCCAGCAGGTCGGTTGGCTGTCAGGATAAAGGTCCCAATAACCGGGATGTACCACAAACTGAGGGAGATGGACGTTTCCTAACACCTTCCCGTTTATCATCCCTGGCAGTATCTGAAGACAGAATTTAAGAGTCATCGGTGAAAAGTCGTGTTTGTTTCCTTGCACCATGGATGCGCTTTTCACTTTCCCTTTTAAGGCTGCGGAGATGGTGCTGTCTCCTCCCTGCTCTCTGCTTATGGATAAACTTTCTTTGGCGTGCCCCAGGAGCAAAGGCGAGGTGATGCAGCAAACCATCCAAAAGGTAAACAAATAAATAAATAAAAACGCCTCCTGTAAATAGAATCCACTGTGGCTCAGAGTGTGTGAGTAGAAAGTATAGCCTCAGGAGAATATCAAAAGAAATGGCAACGATAGCTTTACTGGGAGCTGGAGGAGGGAGCCAAACAAAGCCAGGCTGGTGTCTCAGCTCGGACTGGATCCTCTGGATGCTGTATGGGATGTTTATGGAGCCCTTTTGAAATGTGGGACTTGATGTTTGCACGAATTTAAACGGCATCACCTTCGCTCAGTTTAAGTCAGAAATAAGAACTGATTTTATCCTTGACTGAATGTCTCCCTAACAACTGTCATTGGTGCCATGAATAAATAGAAGAATTAAAGGCCTTAATACATATCGCCCGCCGACTCATGAAAATGTTTAAATCAGCTCATGGTGAAAAAGAAAGTAGTTGTAGCCACTTTGCTCAAACCAAAGGCCATTTTTAATCAGGTTGACTCCGAAAGTTAATTAGATCTAATGATTACTTTCTGAGCTTTTTATTAAAACTCTCAGACACTGACAAATTATAAAAGCCCTTTTTTTTTTATACCTTTGGTGGCAGATCCTAAATGTACTGACCCAGCATTTATGACCTGATTGAATTTCTGGAAATGTAGAGCACCAACCTCTTAATTCAGTGCACTACTTTCCTCGCACTTAAAGACTGGAGTTGTTTTGTGACTTCCACAGATGCTGGATGAAAATCATTTAATACAATGTATTATGGATTACCAAAGGAAAGACAGCTGAATGCACACAGTAAGTTTATTTTGAATTCTAATTAGACATAGTCTAGTTTCTTGCAACCAGATGTTGTAGAAGTTGAATACTCGAGACTCTTTCCTCCTCAGGTATCAGCAGGTCCTTCACGGGAATCTTGTCTTCTTGGCCACGATAGCTGACTCCAATCAAAACATGCTGTCCCCTCCTACCTGCTGTAAGTCTCTTTGCTGGCTTCAGAAGCATCTACATTATGACTATGAGACATGAGGACTGGATTTAAGTTATATTTCTGCACTTTTAGGCCCCCAGTTCCAGTATGGGTCCCGGTGGAATGAGCCAGAGTGGGGGACATGCACCAAATCATCTCAGTGACAACATGACACCAGGACTGCCACCCACATTTATGATGCAAAGCCACATGAGTAATGGTCATAACCTGCCTTTTGGAGTTGAAGAAAAGCTCATTTTAATGTGTTTGCGTCCTGACATGACCCTGACTTTTGTAGCATGTCATGTTTGCATCATCTTCCAAATATCTGCAAAAACATTTTACCATTACCCAGATTCGTTTGCAGATATGTCGACTTCTGCTTCTTTCTCTTTTGGATTATTTTTTTTTACGCTCACGCCGTTTTATGAGCACCTCAAGATCCCTGTTGATGTGAACTGAATGTGGGACTGTGATTAGCCTCATCCCACACATGAGAAGGCTCTCCTGACTGTGCATGTGTGTCATCAGGCCCCATCCATGGCCCCATGCAGTCTGGCCACCATCAGCCTCCTTCCGGCAGCTATGGTGGCTCAGTCTCTGGCTACAGCCATGTTGCTCCCTCCACCCAGGGCAGTATGGTCCAGAGCTCTGGGTCTTATGGTTCCTCCTCCTCTTCCTCCATGTCCTCATCCTTTCCCCCTTCCTCACGCAGCAACCTCAACATGCAGTCCAGCCAAGGGGAGCCAGGTATAGCTGTTTACAACAAACAAAACTACACAACCAAGCTCATAAATCGAAACCTAAACGTTAATGAAATTTTCTTCCCCTTTGTTGTATTGTGTGTATTTTATTTTTTAACTTTATTGCCTCAAAGTATAGCAACAAAGGCAATTTACAGACAATGAAGAACAAAAAAGTATTGAGATTGGACTCAGTAAAAGCATCTAAACAAACAATAGACACACAGAATCAAGTAACATACAGAGGTTAGTCAAATAGAAGAGACAGTCCTGACCATCTTTGAGAAAATCTCCATTTTCATTTGTAAGTGGGCAGTCAGACGCTCCATCACATACATATTACATTTTTGTATCCACTAAGCAACAGTTGGTGAGCAGGGCTTAATCCAGTTTAGGGTACTAGTCTTTCTTGCCACTAGCAACAGGATGTGCAGTATATAACATTGATATTTAGTGAGCAAATCCTTGGGATATATGTCCAACAGAAATAGAAGAGGGTCCTGGAAAGATCTGTCCTTAGGATGCCCCCAGTCTTCTGTTTAATGTTCTTTCAAAAGGTCTTAATTTTTGTATAGTCCTAAAAGACGTGTGTTTGGTCACCGACCAGTTCCTCCAGCATTTATCTGTAGTTGTACTTTTGGAAATGAAAGTTTTTAATGGAGTTTAAAAAAAATCTAGTTTTCATTTTCCAGTTAAACTCTTTCCAGACCTGGCTCCTGATCCCTTTAGGAATATTGTGTGTATTTTGACCCAAAAGATAAGAGAGTTCTGTGTTAATAACAATTATTGTATTTGTCTGTGCAGTTCCTTAAAGTTCATGCTCAGTAATCACATAATATATGTGCAGTTCTTAAACGTCTGGAGCAACATACATGATTACACTCACTGATAAAAACAGTAAGCACCCAGATGGAAAGGTTTCAGTCAAAACAACAAGTGAAGATCACCAGACACAGGAAGTACCTTGAAGAAAACATTACCAGAATTGAAATAGTTTTGTAGGTGTCATGAACCAGGGTTTTGGATTCAAAATAGCCAGACACAGGAGAGCAAAAACAAGAACAGTTTTTATTGATTAGGTTGCTGGTTGCTGGAGTCAGGGTCCAAGGCAGAAGTCCAATCTTCTCAGTCTACGTGGCAGGTGAAATCCAGAGGTGTAGTCCAATGTTCGTAGAGGGGGTCAAGCACGTTGAAGCAGAGAAGCGAGAACAGGGCCGAGTCGTGATCCAAAAGAGTAGTCAAGGGAGAGCAAGAGTCGTTACCGTGGTCAGAAATGCAGACAAATCCAGAAAGGGTCAAAACAAGGCAAGGAGTCAAAAAAACAGGCAAGGGTTCAAGGCACAACAAGGCAAGGATACAAAGCTATGGAGCAAGATACTGTGATGAAAGGCTTCACTATCGGGGACCATGAGAGTTTTAATAATTTGGCCCTGGAGGAGAGGGAGAATGGAGCTTATAAAGGGTGCAGAGCAGGTGAACTAGATGAGCTGAAGCAGGTAAGTGGAATCAGGGCTGATTGCTGTGATAAACAAGGGTAGTAGGTATAAGGTACAGTAGGGGCCCATTGATGCTTTGCCTAAAACAAGGTAGCTAACCTGTGTAACATCCTGGTATGTGGAGTGTATAGATGTCAATGGTCTGACATTGGAACACATGAATACATGAGGGCACAGATGTTTTGAAAGTTTTAGTTACCCAAGGAAGTTTTGTCATAATGTGCATGCACATGCTATCTGGACATAGGTAAAGGACAAGACCCTATGTCATCCCACATCATGTCTAATGATTGGTGTCAGACAGACAGTGGGTTCACAGCACCAGTCAAACTGATGATGAGTGGCATCATCCTGTTCAACAGTAAATCTCTGTTCTAGCTTACATCTACAGGTGTTAGACCTCCTTGTATAGCACCCTGGTACAGTCTTTCCACAAGACAGCACCTTACAACACATGGCTGATGAACTGGCGGTATCATGTTGAGGTCCTCCTGTGGTCATTGAAGTTTCTTGATCTTTCCCTATTTTCCAACATGTGTGGAATCAGCTTAGATTCACTCCAGCCCAATACCCAATTGCCAAATCTCAAGGGCCAGTTATGAGTTACAGGGCCAGTTATCCTGTGGAAAAAACAACAGCTGTACTCTGTTTTGCACTGTTTGCATCCAGGCTCGAAGGGGTGCCACGCCCTGCTGACTTGGGACCAGCAATGAGCTCACACTTCTGGCTCTGCCATCCATTTGATCTGATGTTATCATTACAATACAGTCACATGACCTTTCAACAGCTTTATTTCATTGCTGCCATTCATTTGAAGTCTTGACGTTTTTTGTCAATGACTGTATTTTTCTGAAAAATGCTTTGTTAATTATAGTTTGCTTACATGCATAGCAGTAATGTAAACTCTGTCCACATTCAGTTCATCAGAGACGTGCACTGCCTTGTGTCTTCTTTATGATGCTTCAGGTTTAAGTCTTCCTAAAATTTAACTCCTGGCCCTGGAATGCACTTCTACACTCTCTGGATGTCATTGTGTTCATTTCATTTCTATCTCTATTCACGCCACACTTTTCTGGCTTGGTTTGCATTACTTACATTTGGACCAATTTGAGAGCTGAGAATGATGAATCATATAGAATGTGAACCACCGTTAATCTTTGAGATCGCTCCCTCACCTCCTCCTCCAGTCTCAGTGAAGCATCAACAGTTGGCTCCACCTCACTACTCATCAGCCCAGTCTGGAGGCCAACACTATCAGGGACCAATGGGCATGATGGGTCAAGGCAGCCAAGGGTTTAACATCATGTCTCAGAGGCCCATGGGATCCTACTGTTCCTCTCAGCAAGGTAAGTGGGAGAACGTCCTTACCCTGCTAATTTGTCTTTGAATAGCTTTTTCTGTGTGACTTGATGATATTCCTTTAGTTTTAAAAGGGTTAGAGATATTGTTCACAGAGAGGACTTGTCTTGTGACTTGGTGCTATTTCATTAAGATGAAGTGAAATGATGGGATTGGTCTTTTACCTTTCTTCAGAGTTGACATGTTTTTATTCTGTCAAAATATATGTTCTTGTCTGTAAGTCACTTACTTTGCCAACTGCAGCTAATTAAAGCTCTGTTTTGACTTGCAATGTCTTTTTATAGGCACAGACCAGAAGGGAGCGCATTTTTACAAAGTATAAAATGTTTATTTCAAGGGCCGTACAGTGGCGCAGTAGGTAGAGCTGCTGCCTCTCAGCGAGCAGGTCCCAGGTTCAGATCCCAGCCAGGGATCTTTCTGGGTGGAGTTTGCATGTTCTCTCCGTGCATGCGTAGGTTTTCTCCAGATACTCCAGTTTCCTCCCACAGACCAAAAACATGCATGTTAGGCTGATTGGTAACTCTATTCTCTCGGTGTGAGAGAGAGAGTGAATGGTTGTTTGTCTCGTTTATCTTTGTGTGTCTCTGTAATGAACTGGAGACCTGTCCAGGTTGTCCCCCACCTCTCCCACAGTGACTGCTGAACATGGATACCAGTAACCCCCATGATCTGAAGAGGAAGAAGTGGGTAAAATATAATGGATGGATGGATGGATGTTTATTAGATCCTCACACACTGTCATTATTATTATCCTTAAACACCAGAGCTGCATAATGTCAGAACTGTGTCCATAGCTAAGCTTTAGTCTCGGCCTTTCCCTGCTAGGCTCGAGCTACATCTGTATTTGGTCATATGTAAAGTGTAAATTGTGTTAATTTTGTTAGGGTGTTTTTCACTTGTTGCAGAAGTTCAATTACAAAATTTTAAAAATAAAAAAACAACAACAACAATGATGACAACAACAACAACATGCATTTGAAGGGACAATTCATATATTTTGAAATCCCCGCCCCTCTGGTCTTTAATCTGATTGTCAACAAAATATTGTATATCAGAAGTTAATGCCAAAACTTTTTCTTTTTCCCAAATGGCATAAATAAAATGCAATTTAAAAAAACTCCTGAAATTTCATTGTGGCTTTGGTGTGCCACCTCAAGATTAACAGTGCCCACCCCCCACCCACCCCCAATCTGGCCACCCCATTTGAAAACTTTCTGGAAGCACCCCTGGCTGTTTAACCAATCTTGGTGTCACCTGTCTTGCAGGATCTGCACAACACAACATGGGACAAGAAGAGTTCTACGGAGAGCAGCATGGACACACTCAGAGCTCCAGCGAGCCCATAAACCAGCTGATGGTAATCGTGCACATCCATAAAGTTATACACACAGCTCTCAAACACATCCCTGTGGCTCATGATAGCTCCTTTCTGCACAGTTCCACAAGTCTGAATCAGATTTATTGAATAAACTTTACAAGCTTTTCCTACCAGTCGTCAGTCCCTTTGAAAACTAAAAATGTGTCAATATCAGTGTTTCTATACTGACCCTCTTGGTGCTGAAATTTCAGATTTCAGAAACAAGCAGCAGGGGGTTGAGGAAAGAAGATTGTTTATTTTTTATTTTGTTGCTGCTCATGTATTGCTTCAGTGAGGTCATTTTTGCGTGTGCATCTGTGCAGGTCATGGAGAATGAGGAACACATCTGGTGTCATAATGTAAGAATTATGTTAAAAAACAACAGTCACATGAAGTTGGTTTTGATTTAAGGTCCTGACCAGGGAGGATCGTCCCAGTTTCCTCAGTATCAGCAAAACCAACAGTATGGATCGTACCGCTCTTCCCAAGGAGGAGTGCAAACTCAGAGGCCCTACGCCTATGAACAGGTACCGGACTGAAGGTTTTTTCTTTTTAAATGCACATAAGCTGCTGGAAATAAACCACTGACGTATTGGTATTTTATCAGAATTGTGGTAGAAGCCTTTGTAATTTAAGTTAACATTAATGATTGAGCAATCAAAGCAGATAAGCACTGGTACATATTTCAAGTGTATATTTTTTAGTTTATTTCCCTTTTTTTTTTCTAAATAAAACTGTATGAAGGCTTTTTCGTAACAAGTAGGTGGTTCAACTTAATATGATCCTTTACATTGTGCTCATTCTAAAAATAAAAACCTTAAAGACACCAAAGTTCATGCTCAATAATCCAGGTATAAAGTCCAACAATGTTCAGTCAGGTCCTTAAAGAGATAGTTCAGATGTGAGGAATAATTCTGTGAAAAGCTTAAGAACAATTTGTATGTTATTTGTTACAAATTATTGTTAAATTATTATATTAAATTCATTATTCGTTAATTCTTATGTTTGAACAGCATCGGTTTGAAGAAATAGTTTAATTCTGAACACACTGATGAGCTCAGGCCAAGGCCAAAATGGATTGCTGTCATTTAGAACAACTTAAAGAATATTCCAAGCAATTCAAGTTATGGTAATTTTGCATTACATGTGTATTTCTGCAGGAACATGATGATATAGCTGATGGAAGTACCCCGGACTGCAATGAAAGTGCTGTTTGTGTTAACAACTAAACACATCAATTCATGTAAATAACCATGTAATGCAAAATCAAGATTGATGACAACAGCAGTCTACTTTGATCTTGGCTTGGCTAGCTGCTAACTTTGCAATCTCGACCAAATTAAACTCTACTTTTCATACGGAAGTTGTTGAAAGAGCTATCTGCAACAGGTAAGATAGTGTTGCCACAGAGATGCCAACGATTTCAAAGATCTAAACTTTAATTTTAACATGGATAAACCCATGAAACACACTGTTTAAGGCTGTCTTCATTGCTTTTCAGGGTCACTATGGAAATTATCCACAATAAGGCATGACGTTGTTTTGCTGTTTGAAGAAAATGTGACATGAAACATCAATAATGCGCTCATCACGTGGAGGAGAAGAACCCTCGGCATCTGATACATCATCCTCTTACTGTCTGCTTTCTAATTCATATAAGATGATCTAATAAACGTGAAGCTTCAATCCTTGCTGCACGTTTGACAGTTCAAGACAGAAATTGCTATAGTCACCCATGAAAAGTCAGAATAATTGAGGAGTCAGGATTATTAGGATGAAACGGAGCATAAACGGGACATGAAAGGTATTAAATGTAATCTTCTCATTTTCTTCCTTTTCTGTTCAAATGTCTACATCTCATCTTGTGTACTTAGTGCTTCTTTTTTATTTTATTTTTTTATTTTACTGGCCTCTTTTTATCCTTATTTACCTCCTGCACACGGCAGGACTTTAAAAGCCAGACTAAAAGGCCAATTATATTGAAGGAAACGCTCTTTGACACTTTTAAAGAGCCCACGTCCAGCTTTCACGTTAAGTCTTTTTTTTAATCTCATGACGGGGAAATGAATTTCATAAAGGGTGAAATTGTTGGAGGGATTAAATCTGTGTTAGTCAAACTGTGCCGTGATGCTGTGAGGTCTAACATTAAGTCTGCTCTCTTCCTGCATGTGTCGTCCGCCTAATACATCTATCATAAGCATGCATTGTGACAGTATGTTGGACCATATTTTTGTGGCATTACACTGCAGAGATATACAGTTTGTGGAGAGGATGCTTTTTAAATCATTTTTATAATTTTCCAACACATTCCAGCACTTGTTGCAGCAGCAGTGTGTTGTAATGTTGTTTTATCTAAAGTGATTCTCAAAAAGCCAAAGGTAACCAGGAACAGAACCTGTACTTTAATAAGTGCGGTACGCTCAGTGTGTTAAGTTCAAGGTTGATGTAATTATGAAAACGTGTGATTATTTATAGTTTTGGTTCAACACAAAGGCAGAGGTGATGACTGGGTTGTCTCTACATGTCGAGTTATTTAGCTCTTTTAATCTGCTGAGTTTGTAGTTATGATGCTTATTTATAGACCATGCGAGATCATTCCTATAACATATAATGTTTAGTTATTTTATTTATTATCCAGGAAAGCGTTATTTTTGTGTTTAATTTATAAAATAAGTCTGCTCGAGTTTGTAACTTAGTTGCGTGTACGTCCAGTTTTTGCAGTGTTTTCTTGGAACCCGGCCTACCTCAGAAGGTAGAACACGTTTAGCTGCCGTCCTTTTGCTGATTCAGGAGCTGCCCGGCTGTCAAACAGCCGAAACACTCCCCTCATCGCAGACGATCCCAGGCTTCGTTCTCCTGTGACCAACTCTCTCCAGCGTCTCGTGTTACTGGGAGCTGAACGTTAGTGACGTCTTTTCCAGATTGATGTAGTGTGTCCTCACTCGTGAGTGCCACGTCTTAATCCGTGTGTGTGAGTGTGTGTGTTTGCACATCATCAACCAATTACTTACTGCATTAATGGTAAGACTGATCTTTTCTGCTGTCGTTTTGTTACTATTTGTAATATAAAAATAAATTAACAATAAGCTTTTGTTGTGTCTGGATTTTATGCTTTTGTTCAAAACATTTAGTAGTCATCTACAAGTTATTAATATCATCACAATAGTTAATCTTTGTATGTGTCCGAGGCAGGATGCTGTCTCTGACACGGGAATTCAGGACCAGTAAGGACAATCACACCATCGTTGCATAATTCACACTCCTGTCTGTTCAGGGAACCATTAGATAATTAAAACTAACTCGTGCATTTAACCATTCTTACCAAAATGAACCCTTTTCACTGTAAAAATCATGGACATTGTGATTCAATTACTGTTTAATCCAAATCTCGTTGATAGTCGATGCTCAGAAAAATGGCGGTTGCACAAGCCGTCGGTACCGTGGGATCTGTCTCGGGTGAAGTTTATGTCATGACGTCAGACGTAAAGCTGAATTAAACTTAACTGTTTCACTTGGACTCAAAGTAAAACGTTCATTTCAGATAAAATGTGACTTTTAAGTTAAAAGAACCCCTAAAAGTAAGTTTTCTTCACTAAACCAAAGTAATTCAATTCAGTTTATTTATGCAGCGCCAAGTCACAACAGAAGTCGTCTCAGGGCACTGGACAGAAACGTTCATATATAAAATAATAATTTATCTTTATTTATCTGAGGAGCAGACTGCTTTGAGTTTAACTCCATCACAGACTCTCATCTTGAGCAAGCATGAAGGCGACAGTGGAAAGAAAACAACTCCCTCATGAGGAAGAAACCATTAGCAGAACCAGACTCAGGACAAACGGTCATCTGCTTTGACCGGCTGGGTTTGAGAGGGACAGATACACAATGGCAGGTGGAGAATCATGTTAAGATAGAAATAGTATCAAATGAAAACTATTCAATTTTGACAATTCAGGTCAATTTGTCCTCCAGTAGTCTAAGCCTACAGCAGCATAACAAGTCAACCCTAACTATAGGATTTATCAAAAAGGAAAGTCTTAAATCTGGACAATGTGTCAGCCTCACGGACAGAAACTGGAAGTTGGTTCCACAAGAGAGGAGCCTGATAACTGAAAGATCTTCCTCCCATTCTGCTTTTGGAAACTCTAGGAACCACGAGTAAACCTGCAGTCTGAGAGTGAAGTGCTCTGTTAGGAAAATATGGAACAATAAGATCTGTAATATAAGATGGAGATTATGGATGGATAATTGAGATTAATGCAAGTCCCTAAGATGAACTACAGCCCAAATACACTTTTTATAGTGTAATTAGTGTTTATTGTAGACTTTAAATGTTTCGTTTGATGTTTCTATTGATTATGCTTTTTTATTAAACACTATATGAAGTCTGGACGTATTCTGGTACGTCTGTAAACGTCCCCTTGTCCCGCTAATAACTTCTGATCTGCTCAATATAATAATTTAACAAAACTTCATTCACACATGCATCATCACTAGTTTTCATCACCCCAGCACCAACGTCAAGGTCACAAATCAAGGTCAAATGTTACACAAGGTCTTTGCTTGTTTGGGTAATTGCTATTGATTGCTGTGATGAGCATATAATGTGCTGTATGCCATACTTATATTTTTTTTATATAGGATATTGAAGCTTTATCACTAACAGATTTGTCTACATTGACTTGGTAAATAACATTTGTAGTCGTCTCAGGAATAAATAATTCTTCACTTAAATAAGATTCTCGTGTTTTAAGATTCAGTCAACATCTCTGTGTTAAACTAATTTATTTTTAAATATTGACAGGCAAAAGTGTATCCAAACCATTAAAAAGAAAGACTTGTACCACCAAGCTCAGTTCAAATGATGACAGTAGGATAGGAGGGAGAAATCTTTTATTTGCAGGGATTTGTGTAAATCAAGGTTAAAACATTAGCAGATGATCGGCCAGCTGTCAGCGAGATTTACTTTATGAATAATTATTTGTTTTTTACCGGTTGTGCAGCCAAACAAACAAAAAAAAAAACGTGTTCATGTGCAAATCACCAGGATGAAGAGGTAGACGAGGAGCGATCGAGATGACGAAGAGGGAAAATGCACATGTTGGAATGAAGCTGTCGAAGTGAGAAGGAAAATGTGTCAAGTAAACAATGAGCTGCAGAGGAACACGGAAACAAAAAGAAAATACGTTTTATTGCTACGTCAGAGCGATAAGGAAACATGATACACAACAGATAACAGCTTTGTCACAGATTTCTTTTCTCTGAGTGAAAATCCAAGTGGGGGTTGTGATCAATGTCAAAAAAGTATCCTTGAAGGGAAGTATCCTTGAAGGGAAGTATCCTTGAAGGGATGCTCATCGTCCACCATCTTTCATCTTTCAGCATTAAACTAATGGACTGAGAAGTGACGGTGTTAGAGCCGTTCTGGTCAAACCTGGAAAACAACTTTATCTCATGTGATGTCACAAGACGTCACACTTAGTCTGTTTGGAATAACTTCAGCTACTAACAACAGATTGTAGCTCGGCTGACTGAGCTAAACCTGCTGTGTTGGCTAACGTCAAATAGCTGTGACCACAATGACTCCAGTGGTAAATAAATATACAATCAAAGAACCAATAAGCAGAGTTTCATTCAAATCTGTCGGCTGGTTCGGGAATAATTTTGCTGACAGACAATGTTTACTCCAAAAGTTAATGCTAAACTTTTAATTAAAGACTTTTCCAGTGTGCAGCACTTGGATGCTACAGCTACACTGTAAAACTTGATTTAGTTGAACTCAAACGATTTGAAGAAACCAATTGCTTTAAACCATTTAAGTTTTATAACTTAAGCAATTTAGTAAAAAAAAAAAAAAAAAAAAGAAGTCAAAATAAGTATATTTAACTCATATTTTTATTAAGGTAACGGGTAAATGAAGTACCATTCCATTCAGTCAACTGAACTTAAACTGGTAAGTATTCTACAGTCATATGTATTATTACTTCTAACTTACTTTAAATGGGTTTATTGTACTCATCTGAACTGAGCCAGACTAGTTTTGGTGGTAAAACTTATTAAAAGAAGATCTAATGTTGCTCGTCACTAACTTTGAATCATCTACATTAAATCATAACATTCTACTTGTCACAACTTTTAGCTACTCATTTCATCTGAGGAAACCGATTGCCTTAATACAAATACACATCTTATACAAGTTTCAAACTGTTATTTAACACACATTTAAAAAGCAGGTTAATGTTAAAACATTTCGAAATTTGTGAAAACATTTTAAAGTTCTTAGACAATTTTTTTGCTTTTCTTTAATTTCTAAATTAAGGGTGAGGAGTTTAATTCTAATTTTAATTAGCTGCCATTTATATTGAACACTGACACATCATAATTTTTAACAAGTGTTAAAAAAGTCTTTGACTTCAGTACTTAAACGAGTGTTGTTCTGATATTTTAATCATCAGCTTTAACATATATTTATTGAACACTTATGATTGATTAGAGTTTCTAATCTCAACAGTTTAACCGTGTCCTGAAACAGATGCTGGTGACTTTAAATAGCTTAAATAATTATAATAATATATAATTTTAGCTATTTCTGTGAAATTGACTTGGGCTGTTGTATATTTTGTACAGTACTTTGGCTGTAGTGCCATTATGGGTTGTATCCAAAGGTTATTCAGTTGCAGATGTCCATTTAATGATAAGCTCCTTCATGAACGTTTTGTTAAAATCTGCTGAGAGGTTCGTAAGATATTCTGACACACAGACAAAACACGCTTCATCTCTAGTGAGCGCTAAAGAAACCGTGGAGTACATTCATCATGTGAGGCATGAAAATAAAGAAAACAGTATTTGTAAAATTGCAGAGGGCACAGTAAATAAGAAATGCTGAACTTTATGGATCCAGAGGAAATAAAGGAGTATTTCAGAGTATTTTGTAGAACCATGTCTCTGTTTAACTTCTGCACATGCGCATGCTGTTTGCATAAAGGCATACCTCCCTTCAAGTGAAATACTGGCCTTGTTAAAAACAATCTACCAATTTCAAATGAAATGAATCCAAAGGCCACAAGGCAGTGCGTTGATTTATCATTTTACAAAAGGTTTTCTTGATTGAAGAAAAGTTACTCTATAGAGCACATGGCCACAGTAAATGCTCCATTATCAATTCAAATAGAAAAAATTATCAGTAAAGCAAAGTATTTTAATATTTAAAATTTATTTTTTCATTTGAGTAAAATGGTAAATGGACTGTACTTATATAGCCCCTTTCTATCTTATCAAGACACTCAAAGTTCTTTACAACACAATCTGTGCCTCATTTACTCATTCATACAGCTCTCTATCTCTACAAAGAATAATCAGAGATTTATCACATTCATGCACCGATGGGACACATCGGAGGCAATGAGGAGTTCAGTGTCTTGCCCAGGGACACTTCAGCATGTGACTGCTGCCGGAATCAAACCCCCAACTCTTGCATTAGGGGACGACTGCTCTAACCACTCAGCCACAGCCAACCAAGGGATTTACAGGCGAATCTAAAATTTTTAGAAAATTGTAGAAAATTGTCAAAAAGTTACAAATGTGTGTCAGTCATTTCAGAAAGTGAAACTCATATATTATTCAGATTTATTACACATAGAGTGAAATATTCCAAGCCTTTATTTCTTATAATTTTGATGACTATGACTTACAGATAATGGAAGAAAAAAAAAATTCAGTGTCTCAGAAAATTAGAATATCGTTGAAGAGGTTCAATATTTTTAACTCCTGGTGTCACACTCCTGAACCAGAGACTGTCAGAAGTGTCTTACCTGAGGAGACAAAGAATTGGACTGTTGCTCAGTGGTCCAACGTCCTCTTTTCAGATGAAAGTAAATTTTCATGTAATTTGGAAATCAAGATCCCAGAGTCTGGAGGAAGAGTGGAGAGGTCCAGAATCCACGTTGTTGAAGTCCAGTATGAAGTTCCCACAGTCAGGGATGGTTTGGGATCATGTCATCTGCTGGTGTTGGTCCACTGGACACTCTTACGTTGTCTCTGGTTCAGAGGTTGCTTGACTTGAGGAAAGCGACATTTGTAGCTCGTGTCTAGGATTTGTTTGTGCATAGTGCATCAGTTGCCAATATAACATTTTATCACAATATTCAAATTTTCTAAGACACAGTTTTAGGTTTTCACCAAGCCATAATCATATTATTGGCATTTAACACAGTGATCTCATTTGGTATTCCGTTGTTGATGATTGTGTTCATCCATCTTGCTTTTACTCCCTGACGTTTAACGCAGGGTGATTTGATTTAGTATTTCATTGTTTCTCATTATATTTAATGTTTTTATGCTTTTAATCATGTTGCTGTAATATGTTGTTATTAATATTTGATGCTGTGATCTTTTTTTGGTAAGCACTTTGATAACAGTTACTGTTTTAAATGTGCTATATAAATAAATGTGACTTGACCATTAATTACAAGAAATAAAAACGTGCAATATTTCACTCTATGTTTACTAAATCTATATAATAGTTGAACTTTCTGAAGGATTGACAAAAAAAAAAAAAAAAAAAAAAAAAAACGATCTTTTTCACGATATTCTAATTTTTGTAGACGCACGTGCTTAGGAATCGCTTACTGGCGCTTTATTTTGCTGAATGGACACAGTAGTAGACAAATGCGACCAGAAGGTGGCAGTAATGCAACATAAAGGATTCTGTGCAACCCCAAAAACATCGGCGAAAAAGATATTTGTCCCAGCGCAGCTTCCGTACACTTTCAGCATGCGATGTTTTTGAACATGTTAGCAATATTATCAAAGGTTATGCTCCTTGTAAAGTACCACGACTCTTTTTCCAGCTATGTTACAGTTTAATTACCGATCGCGTTTCGTTTTTAATAACTTGTTTGGATTTTTCTGTTTAGGCGAACAGCCGACATGACTTTAAAAACACAATTTAGCCATTAGCCCGTTCAACATTCAGTCTGTAACGACAAGATGTTGTCGAGAGTTAAAACAGCCCGCTGGCTCTCAGCGAGGATATGTTCAGGAGTTAGTTTAGGACAGGGTAAAGGACAGGACGTGAGACACACAAGGGTCGGTCTCAGAGACGTCTGCACCGCCACGAAACTTTACGGAAAAGCCCGAGAGATTCCGAGTAAGAGAGACGTGTCTGAAAAGAAGCTGGTATGTGTTTATAAGCTTCCGCTCTCTAAAGCTAGCTTAGTGGTGTTTTAGCAAATAAAAACATGAGAAAAAATGACCTCAGGACTCGAAAGTAGCTGATATATTTAAAAAGATAGTAGCTATTTATGTCAGCTGAAACAGGCGGAGAATGTGCTTCTAAAACATTTAAATCAAAGTAAAATGTCAGAGTAGAGTTTTATTTCAAGAGCAGGTTAATGTTTGGTCCAAAATGCTTGGTTTGGTTGTAAAACCTGCTTTGTTGTACTTCTGATCACCAGTGAGGGATTTATTTACAGCTGTTGGAAAATGTGCTTTTGCAAACTCCTCTGAAAACATCTGGAGGAAAATCTTTCATGTCTGAACCTCAACTACAAATTGAAATCGATACGCATCCACAGAAAACCACAGGATATGCACTTTAGGAAGCCACAGTGATCGCTGAAGTAAATGTACTTTAGTGCAAATTACAAATGTGTCCAGTGTTTTGTTTTGTTCACACACCAAACTTCTTGTGCATCGCAGACTCGACAATTTGTGGACTCTCGTCGTGTGAGGCTGGTGGCCGGTTCTGGTGGGAAGGGAGTGTGCACCTTTCACAGTGAGCCCAGGAAGGAGTGGGGCGGACCGGATGGAGGGAATGGAGGCGATGGAGGAAGCATCATTCTAAAGGGTGAGCTGGTCACAGTGGTGCGTGCTGATTTGATGCTGCACGTGGGCTCCACCGTTTCCTGAACTCAACTTTAACACCATCTGTTTAACATGAGTCGATGTGCTGGAAGAGGTGGGCACGCAACTCATAAGAAGAATACAAATGGATTTTACACCTTGACCATTTTATTTCTTACGCACATTTAACTATTGTGCTTTTTTTGTGTGTGTGTTTTTATGCTTTCAGCTGACCGGTTTGTGAAATCATTGGCCAAAGTGGGGCCACTTTACTCAGGAGAGAGCGGGCACTCGGGGAGCAGCAAGAACTGTCACGGTCGGAACGGCAGCACGACTTACGTTTCAGTGAGTTCAGGCGTTTCCATCATGCGTGAAAGGCTCGTCGAGGCCGTTCCTTGAAGGATTCTATATCACCCGCCATCTTTCATGCCAGCGTTTTAGACTAACGCCGTGTCATGAAGAGAAATGAGGGAGTTTTGGTCAGAATATTAAGGAACGATCTCCCTCTTCCCACCAGACTGTTCACAGACAGACAATGTTCACAGTCCATTTTTACAACTCTGAGAAACTCTTTTTTATTCCCTGGCTTTTGGCACAGCCTGAAATTTGCTCTGCACTGTTTTAATTGTTTTGCGTTTAAATGTTCTTGACTTTACTTGTACAGCACTTTGTTGCAGCTGTGGCTGTTTTTAAAGGGCTTCATAAATAATGTTTATAGTATTTGGATATTGCACAAAGCTCATTCAGATTTAAGTCCAGAATGAGGACCCACTGGTGTTTTAGTCTTTTTGTAAACCTGTGACTTATATTTATGATTTCTATCTTTTTTTTATATTGTTTATTCATATTATTATTATTTTATTTGGACCTTCTTGTGTCTTTAATAAAAGGTGGTGATGATGAATGTAGTGGTAGCAAAATAGAAAATAACGTCATGCACAGTGTCATGCAATTTGTGACGTCGCACTCGGAGCATGTGCAGCTGCTACCTCGTCAACACGTGGGTCAGTTTCTGTAAAAGTGATCGAGTTACAGCCAGTTTTGTCTTCGATTGATTAGCTGCAGCGGCCGTCGTTTCAAATGCGCTGATTCTAAAATGCACTTAACTTAGATGCAAATGTACATCCAGTGATTGGATTCTGAAAGTTTCATAAAAGTCTGTCTGGTAGTTCACGAAATATTTTGCTAACAGACAATTTTGACTCAACATTTACCAAGGGTTTAAGCATCTTGTGCAACGAGTAGCACTTCAGTTATGTGTTACTGACTCAACAACAAACACACCAAATATTAGCACAGCGTTAGTGAAATTAACCAAATTACCTGTGTTTTTCAAAGTGAGTTGTCTGTGGCGACCATCTTGAATTGGGCTGTTCCGACCTCTCCTGCGTTATCCATCTGTTCAGGTGCCGATGGGAACGGTGGTGAAGGAGCAGGGGGACACCGTAGCGGACCTTTCCGAGCACGGTCAGGAGTATGTGGCAGTATTTGGAGGGTCGGGGGGAAAGGGAAATCGATTCTTTCTGTCAAATGAGAACCGTGCCCCAATGACTGCAACCGCCGGTATGGCCGGTCAGGAGCGGGTCCTTCATTTAGAGCTGCGCACTATGGCTCATGCTGGACTGGTAGGAGGAAGTCCCTGTTCCTGAACACACATTTGGAAAAAGTACAGCTTGAGCCTGATGTGTGTTTGTACACCTTCAGGTTGGTTTTCCCAATGCGGGGAAGTCGTCACTGTTGACAGCCATCTCCAACGCCAGGCCTGCTGTAGCTGCTTATCCTTTCACCACACTCAACCCACACGTTGGGATTGTTCAGTACAGGGACCACGAGCAGGTTGCAGGTAGTTGCCTTTAAGCAGATCATCAGTCCATTTTAAGGTTTACATTATTTTATACGCAATTCACGTTTGTACATTCGCTTTGCACAGTTGCTGATATCCCAGGCATCATCCGAGGAGCCCATTTAAACCGAGGCTTGGGTATCTCCTTCCTGCGCCACATAGAGCGCTGCCGTTTCCTCCTGTTCGTTCTGGACCTGTCGGAGCCAGAGCCCTGGACTCAGCTCCAACATTTGAGCTATGAACTGGACCAGTATGAGCCTGGTCTGTCCCAGCGACCTCAGGTCGTTGTAGCCAACAAAATGGACCTACCTGAGGCCCAGGAGAAGCTGGAGACTCTGAAGAGCCACGTCACCCAGAGGGTCATTCCTGTGTCTGCTCTCACAGGACAGAACACAGAGGAGCTCATCCTCCATCTAAGAGAGTTGTACGACGGCTACCTCCAGAGTAGTTCAGAAGAAAAACCAGTTAGGTGGTAGGGACCGTTTATTTATAGAATCAGCAGGGGATCAATATGAATGCATTTAAAATTTTAAATAAACATACAACCAAAACAAACGTTTATGTGTTGTTTCAAATATGCTTTATATTTATATAGTTTTACTTCATCTATAATGTTATTGTTTATAACAGCTTAAAAATTAGAAGTTGAAAAACATTCTAATTATATACTTTTGAATGTTTGGTACCATTTATATGCAAATCAACCATAAAAAAATCAGTATATAAAATATTGGGCTGATTAAAAAATTCAGGGCTGATTTTCATAAAATACCTTCTGTAGTAATTTGATTAAATTCAGATTAATTATAAAGCGCAAAGTCACACAGAAGTTGTCTCGGCACTGTACAGATCATTCACATACGTTATAAAAGCTTATTAGTAATAGTTATCTAAACAATAAATCCAGCAGATTACGATACAATCATCAATGTTACAAATGTTACATTTTATGTGTTAATTAATGGGTCAGCCAGGTCACTGTAGTTTTAGGTACACAAATAGATCATCTGGATGTTTACATGTCCTGTGCTGCTGCTGTTTTAGTTCTTTATTTTTGTACCCAACAGTAAAACAAATTCCTCAAAACTGTCTAGCTAATTGACACGAATATTCACTTATTCCATATTTAATATATTTATATAATCAGGCCTCTCTTGTAAATGAGTCCTCGAGGCTCAATGGGATTAACCTGTCTAAATAAAGGTTGAATTGAATTCACTTATGACTTTTAACCTCACTGACTCAAGTGTGAACATTTTTACACCCAAGTATCTATTTCACTCAAATCTGCTTCTTTTCCTGTGAAAAAGCTCCCATTCATCAAACAGAACTTTCCATAGTAGAAAAATTAATTGATCAAAATTCATTTGAATTTATCCTTCCCTTAACAGAAAAATGGTCTGGGGTCTGTTTTATTTTACTCTATTCATTAACTATTCTTACATTAAATATTTACTATCCATAAAACGTAATTTAAATATATATATATATATATATATATATATATATATATATATATATATATATATGTAACTTAAATATATATATAAAACGTATTTGCGAATAAAATTTGTTGTCTTTCTTGTCGAGTAGTATTCAAGTCTTACCGCTAGGGGGCAGGCAAACTATAAAAGATGAACGGCTCTGAATATTAGCTGCGCACCATTTGAAGCCTTGTAGATAAAGTGGTTCTCAGGCTGGCTGAGTTCTCTCTTCATTTCAAAAAGTGTACCAGTTGGATACCGCGCTCAGATCCAGAAGCTTTATGCCCACTTCAACCACGTGGCTGCTATAAATAATAATAATAATAATAAAAAAAAAAAAGATTTAACGGTACATCTTTCCGCCGACAAAAACTTTGTCTATTTATGAGAAAGCTCCTCCCGCTCCTCCTCATTTCTACCCGAAGCATCACTTAGTTGACTAAAAACGAACGCGCCTCCGCTTCAATTAACTTCCTGTTGCTGCTGGAACCAAGTTTATTGTAATAATAAAAAAAGGACGAAATATCTCAATTTTTAAGAAACTCAATTGAAACTGATAAATGAGTGTGTGAGATGAACCGACTTCTCACTACAGGTAGGGTCCTTTTACTTCTGATGGGGTGGAAAAACCAGACCACAGTAAATACCATGCTATCAATGCTAACTTGGTTGTGACTTAAGTTATGTAGTTCCAGTTTTGTTTGTCGTGTTTGAACATTTAATTTATTATTACAACATGCATTTTGTAAAATAGTAACCAAAGACATTAATGATTTATAGTTTTGGCCTTAATTAGGGAAAAAGCTAATTTAATCCACGTGTTAGCAAAATTAGCGTTAGCCATCATTTTAGTAGCTGCAAACATTAGTTTTTTTAGTTTTGCTGACCGTAAGTATCCTTATGTGAAAGAAATATTTAGTATTAAAATATTTATTGTTTTTTAGGTATGCAGACAACACATTAAGATAATTCATTTAAATTATTTTCATTTTGGCATTTGTCTCTTAGCTTTACATCTGAACAAAAGGGCTCGACCCTGGTCCTTTAGGGCCTTCTGTCATACATGATCAGTTTCCTGCTTTGATACAGCTGATTTTAATGAACGGGGTCATTTAACAGACTTCTGCATGACTATATGACACTAAAGCATCATCGGATCATTTGAATCAGCTTTGTGCAGGGACACATTTAAAACATGCAGGACCGCGGGCAGGGCCGACCTAAGCCTCCATGGGGCCCTAAGCGAAATTAGGTTTGGGGCCCTCTATTTCTGCTAATAATCTGGATTACTACAATCAACAGTCACATGATCAGATCATTCACCCACCTAACATAAACTCATTGCAAGTGTGACAGCCCTGTTTACAGTATCTTATATATACAGTATATATCTAGTGCTACTAAAAGTAACAAAAGAAGATAACAAAACTCAATGTATTTTACAGCAAAAGTGTCATCTGGTTTATTATCTTTGGTTCCAAAGAACTGCATCAGTAATGTTCAAAATAATTTGTACTGCAAGATCAACAACAAACAGATAAAATAACTTAGATGCATAAAAATAACTTAAATTGTGCAAAACAGACTAAATAAAATAAAATATCAAGGAAATACTTAAAAATGTAAATGAACAATTACTTGAAACCACGTAAAATGGTTTAAAAAAAGAAATTTAATGTTGAATTAGTTCTTAAAATTATGTAAAGGTATGCAACAATTTGCAAAAGCTGAACTTAAAATATTATACAATCTTTACCCACACATTTGACCTGTTTATGTTACTTCTTTCTCAATACTTCATAAACTTCCTAAAACCTGTGCTTCCACTTAGGGTGCCCCCTAGTGGCCCTGGGGCCCTAAGCAGCCTTGTGCCGGCCCTGACCGTGGGTCCTGTTGACCAGAACTAGAAACTTCTGACTTAAATCAGATTCAACTAAAACAAACACAGGTATGAATTTGTCTTATTCACTTTACATGAACAACCTCGTCTTAATACTATGGTCAGTTTGTAAGGAAGTTCATCTACACAACTTTCTTTTATCATTCAGGCTCAAATATTAGACCTCTTTATTAACTATTGCACGGTGTCTCAATGGGATTTGTCTGATTAAATAAAGGTTAATAAAGTTAATAAACAGTTGTGGTGAGAGACTGATGGGGTCTACAGAAAACACTGAAATACTGGAAGAAGTATTTGCTTTTGGCTCTTTTGAAGACTTTCTAAAGTTCCTGTGACATCAAATATTTTTTTAAAAATGTGAATGCATTTTTGGAAGGATAACTACGATGGAGCTTTAGGGCCACACTAAGAAAAAAAATACATTAAATATGAGAATAAAGTCATAGTATTATGAGAATAAAGTTGTATGACAATAAAGTCATAATATTACGAGAGTAAAGTCGTAATATTACGAGAAAAAAGTTGAAATAATACAAGATTAAAGTCGTCGTATTACGAAAATAAACTCGTAACATTACCAGAATAAATTCATAATTATTATTAGAGCTCCGACACAAAAATGATGAATGTTGACATGGTTGGTACAATATCAGGGAGTCCAACGCACTGTGGCATATGGATCCTTAATTTAACTTAATTCAGGAAGTGAGGACATGAGGGAAAGCCTGCTACAACAACACAGGCAGTAGAGAAGAATCTGATGTTTCTTCAGATTTTTTTGAGCGACTTCAGAAAGAGAAGAGTCGGAGTTAAAATGTTTGTTCAGTAAACAAAGACCAGGGCGTTCCCTTTAGATGTCACTTTCTGTTTCACTTTGACTGTTGCGAATTGAAAAGGAAATATGCCAGTTGTTTAAATGGGTATCGCACCAATTTTTTAAAATCTCTTAAACGTTAAGATTTATTTTTTTGTTTAGTTTTTGTCTTTTCCCCACTTTTTGATTTGTTGGATATACAGAAAAAACTGATTCACAGATGATCATGTGTCGACTTCATCAAATTTATTACAAAGTTTTGGAGAACGGTCAGACCCACAGAGTCAATACATCCCAAGCACACAACTTATTCATGAGTTCTGGTCCATTCTAACTTCCTGAAATGAAACAATTTTATATAAACTCATCAAGGGCGTTAGAGATGAACATTTTTCAAGGATTCCCAGGAACTGAATCGCAACATTAAAGCTCTCACACAAACAAAATAATGAACACTCTGTTACTGTCTGTTCTCTTCCTGCAGAGATAGCCACGTCCAAATTATTATAGTATCGGAAATGAAAACGTAATATTCACAATGACCTTGAAATGATAAAAAAGGGTTATAAAGTTTATTAATACAGTAAAATAATATAGCATGTTGATATTGTAACGTATCAGGAAGCAGATTAACAAATAATATATTTTCAGCACAATGCACGTCACAAGCACTTTACAGGAAGAGACAATTCAGGGTGGAAAACACTTCCTGTCTAAAGCATCAGAATTGTTTCAAGCAAAGGAAAAAGTAGAGCGGATCCTTTCATTCTTATTTTATATCTTTAGAGATTGTTCAGTGTTATTTTTCTAAATCGTACTTGGCCCTCACACTGATAACTCCCAGTGGGAGTTTGGTGCAGCAGCTTTTTATCAGTCCACTGTGTCTGCTGTGTTTGCAATATCTGTGATGGATTACATACATTTGATCCTTTTTCGTTTGTTTTGTCTTGTTTCTTTTTTTTTTTAGGTTTTATGGAATTACTCTGAGATGAGTAAGAAATGGAACCAGCATGCTCCCAGTAAAAATCTTTGAATTCTTCTCCAGTTTTATCCGATTAAACAACAGACACTGCAAAGGGTGAGCATCCATTTCTTCAATTTGTGTTTGAACACACAGCAGCTTCTACTTCATTATGTAGCAAGTGCACACTTTTAAATAGTGAAAATTAAGAATATAAATATTTTGTTACATTTCCAACTGGTCATCTGTACATTAGAATAATAGTATTTAAAAAAAAAAAAGGGTAGTTATGTCTTCTCAAGGTACAGACTACATTTCTGCAGCATGCTTAATGCAGCTGGTTTGTTAAATCTTAGTTCCCTGGGCAGTGGCATGAGCAGGACAACAGACCGAAACCAGAGAAAAGAACTTGGAATCCAGGTTAAAGTCTGGGACAAGGGAATGAGCAGGAATATAAATGGCCTCAAGTTCATAGTTGTGATCTGCGTGTCCTTCGTCAGCGTAGACTACTGGCTCGTAATCGCCCAGTTCTGCACCTTGTTCTTCCAGGACGTCCAGCTTTATTTCCAGTGCCCTTTTCAGTAGAATATCAGCACGATATTGGCTTCGTCTCATCCAGTCCTTGAAAAGCACAAGAGTTGTGTAATTGTGTTTGTTAAAAAAGCGGTGCTATTTTTAATATTTATAAGTATGTAGAAATATATAGAAGTACTATATTTGTATGTATTCCCCGCTGGCGTCTCTTCCCCATGGCTGATGTAACTCTTTGGGAAGTCCTCCACTGCTGGCGTATGGACTTGTCAATAAAATATTTAATTATTAAAACCTTGGAAATAGTTTGTAATTAAACAAAATCTGCCAATTAAGTCAAACAGAATTACTCGGTCCAAAAAGCTGTAACAATTGCAAAACATGATAAATGTATTCATTTCAGTACGGTGACTGAAGGTGTCGTTCCAGAGCTCGTTTCTTCAGATTCTGTACCATTCAGGTGCGCTTCGAAGTTAGCTACGGTGTCTGTTATTACCTGGGGAGAGTAAAGGAACCGTTTGGACTTTAGCTACAGCATGTTGTTCAAATCATTTTAGTTAATGTCATTAGTCAAAGTGAAATGAAGAAAATAAAAAGACTTTTCAGGTTTGTGCAGTTTAAGTTACGTTACTACTAACACTGAGACTAATAGTCCTGGGATGACAACAAATCTTATGAAAAGGCCTAAATTAAATATATGTCACTTTGTATCTTTGTTTCTTTTCACTACTCGGTTTCTCATTTCTGTTTGAGCCTTTACACGGGCTGGCGTAAGAACATTTTCCAGCCTCTTGAAAGTTTTGGTGCTCGGCAACCTTTTTAATAAAGAAGGCAAATATCTCAAGAAAGTGTAATTTAAGTATATTGCATTGAGACAAGTTTTAACAACTTTTTTAAGAGTTTACTTTCACGTCGTTTCAGTGTTTTCAATTGAGAAATGATTTGTCAGATATATTTTTTTAAACTACAACAAAGTATTTTGCAGACTATAAATATTTTAAAATAATTATTTAAAAGTTTCCCAGACTGACAGATTTCTTCCCTAAAATGACTTTTTCATTCAAAGGGATTTTACTTTCAGGATTTTGGTTCATGTAGTAATTTAATAGTATTTAATTTTCATGATTGATCATTTATTAAATTACATTTCTCGCAGTACAATTACCTCAGTTTGGTTCCAAATATAAACAAGTTTAGCTCGTCCAGACACTGTGTTGTTGCTAAAACACTGTAGAGATGAATTTAGCAGATATTTATGGAAACTACAAACAGCTGAAACTGACTCAGAGAACTTCTTGAGTCTGGAGGAAAAAACAAGTTAAACAGAGACACACACCTTAGTTGTAATGTAAGTCATATAAATGTTTATCTTTTAGTGCTGTTATTGTGTAATTATAAGAACTCAAGCAGCAGACGCTGCCTCTCTCACTGAGAGACACTCGGGCTGGGCTCGCTTCCACAGCAGCGCTGTCTTTTTGGAAGACCAGGAGTTTAATCACGCACTCAAGTTGGACATGTCTACAAAGATAATGATGCACATTAACATTTAATACAAACTTAGATTTTAGATACAAAAGTCCCGAGGAGGTGGAAGCGCAGTTCAGGAAGGGAAGGTGGCAAATGTTATCAGTATTGTGTATCAGTTCTGATATCTCCCCCGGCTGCAGTAAACTGGTCATGTGTAAACACTTCGGTTTAATATGCAGCCATTTAATAATTGATTACATGGCAGCACCTTTGGTTCGGGCAGCGAGGTGTAGTACATGAAACACTGATTGGTGCTCTCACCTGCAGCGTGCCTCAGAGTTAGGAACACTGCACACCTGCTGCCAGGGCTTCATTTGTAAACCGACTGATGCCGGAACAGCAGGTGGGGCGGGGGTGAGGGGGAGAAAGTGTCGCACGGATCGCCGTTCAATATGTCAGATTAAGGAAAATGTACTAGTGTAATTCTGTTTATGAATAAGAACAGTCTTAATTTACTTAGAAAAGTATGTGCTGTGTCTCCGCCGATCTTCATGTTGCTTTCCGTTAAAATCATTGACATGTTGACGTCATGGTTAAAATGATATGCAGCTTCACCTCTGAGCGGCGCTGTTTCACCATGGAAATAATTCATTCTGTCACTATAACACAACTGTCACTCTGATTCTCTTTATTTGTAGAAAGCCGTGTCGGTTTAATCCCTGTATCATCGTTAGATTGGATGGCTTTAACAAGACCGCAACAAAACATGCCACCAACACTTCATTTACTTTATTTGAGCCGGATCCTACCGGAACAAGATCTGGGAACTCTTATTTTGACCGGGTACGTTCAGGCAACTGTTTGCTCAGATCCTGCAACTCAAATCTCCGCCCCTAAAAGTTCAAAGTGATCGCACATTTTTATTTTGTTATTTATTAAAAATAGAATGAGAGGAGACGTTTCCCAGTCTGTGGAGTGGATGTTACAGCTGCAGCAGACGCACCAGCTTGCCCACACGCTCCTGTCCAACAGAGACACGGATGGCATGTCCTGCTGGGATGAAATGTCTTCCTTTATATGGCAAGCCAAGTGGCCCATTAATAGCCATACATGTGGTAAAAGTGGCTATTAATGGGCCACTTGGCTTGCCTTACCTTCCGCACAGGACTGTTTGATGTGTATTATTCACATTAATCATGTATCAAAGCAATTGCGCTAATTTGTAAAAATAACATCTATCAAAATGTCAAAAAGACAGTCCAGTTTACTTTAATTAAATAAATGGATGGATTGTCTTTAGTTGGACAACTGAGATGGCAGTCGTAATACAGGTGGGAGCAGCAGGAGCAACAACGCAGGAATGAATTCAGCGGAGAAGAGTTCAGCTCAGAAACATGGTGTGTGTGTGTGTGTGTGGGGGGGGGGCACTTGACAGAATCGGAGCTGCTCTATTCACACACAACCTGTTGTTGCTCTCTAAAATAGTTACTGAATCAAGTGTTTACAAATGTAGGTAAACATAGTTAAACACCCCGTTAAAACAGGCCAAAATGCAGGAAATAGCATCTACTTTATTCAAACATTTAAGGGGCAGGAGGACCTACAGCTCCCTCTATTCCCCCACGCACCCTCCTCATCCCCCCCCCCCACACACACACACACACATAATTTGCGTTCTGGCATTGGTCAGTTTACAAATCATCCCCGTGGGACAGGGGGGCGGCTGTGGCTGAGTGGTTAAAGCAGTCGTCCTCCAATGCAAGAGTTGGGGGTTCGAATCCACCAGCAGTCACATGCCGATGTGTCCCTGGGCGAGACACTGAACCCCTCATAGCCTCTGATGTGTGTCCCATCAGTGTATGAATGTGATAAAGCTCTGATTAGTCTCTTTAGAATGATTTGTTCAATTATCTTTGTATAGATCTAGTATAGAGCTGTATGAATGGGTAAATGAGGCACAGATTGTAGTGTAAAGAGCTTTGAGTATCTTGATAAGATAGAAAGGTGCTATATAAGTACAGTCCATTTACCATTTACAAATTAAGCCCTGCCATTTTTAAAGATGGCATAAATCCGTCATGGCAACAGTATATCTGTCTCACTTAGTGGTCCATCAGACAACCTCGAGGCAAGATCTGGTTGTCTCGTTGTAGTTGTGCTTATGTCGACCCCTGCTTTAGAAATGTGTGGTTGTGTATTTCTCCAGAGAGCCAGTCTGTGTTTTTATATCTTAATTGTTTTAATTGTTTTATTTTTATATACAGTATTTCTAATTCTGTGTTTTGTTTTTCTGGACTGCAGCATTTGCTCTGTTCACGTGTGAAGGCACACATCAGTAACTGTGTGTTTGTGTGTGTAAGGACTGTAAAAACCTGACAGTATGTTTTCTAGCTCCTCATCTGCTGAGTTGTGTGGTTACTCCATTTTGTTTGCTCTGGTTCGTTCGACCAGGCTCAGCTGTCAGTCAAAGGAGTTCAGTGGTTTCACAGCTTCTCCCTGTTCGCAGGTCTATTAAGGTGTAGATGTGCTGTTTTGTGCTTTAGAAGAAAAGGCTTGTGTAATTCAGAACTTTGTGCATCCCTCTAAATAAACAAGTGTCAGCGAGGATATGTTGAACGACTGAGTGTCACAACTGATTAACTAGTAGAATATGTCTATTCTTGTCATAAGGTATTATAGATATTTTTAATCTGCTTTGGGAAGATGTTACCACAGGATGTTAATATAGACTTGACAGCACTTACTGGTGTGGCCACAGGTACAACTCGAGATCTTATTGGCATCCGTTCTCCATGATTGCTGTTGTTTAATAACTCAAAGAGCACCTTAAAGATACAAATGCAGTTTTATTTTACTTCTTTAAATTGGCACAAGTTTTTACATTTGATTGAACAATACTTTGCTGTAAAATAAAAACCTTTCAAGAATTAGATTACACAGACTCAATAGCTGATGATATACAAATCAGTGCCCAGTCTGATGACCCCTCTACACACTCCCTTAAACAAAAATATGTTTGCATGCCTAGATGTATCTAAAAAAAATCTGTAGTTTTCAAAATATGTGTATGTTTGTTTTGTAAAAGTTCACATCGCAGTTAAAAAACAAAAAACAAATTTCAGTTCACACAAATAAAACTAAAATAGTTTGTGTTTTAAATTCAACCGGTGACAATTTGGACCTAAACTTGCACTCTAGTTCACATCAATTTAATATTTTTAACAAGATGAAGTCCTTTATAAATGAATGTGTTTAATGTTTGTCATGACTAATTCTATTTATTTTTATTAATCACAACTTTAATGTTCTTATTGAACTCCTTGATCATCATAATAAACTAGTGTATGCCCATGTTTTTGCCTGTTAGATACCTTAGCTGTTCTGCATATACTGTGTAAGTACGGTGACGCCACAGTGATTAAATTAAAGGTGTACTGCAAGAATTAATAGCAGAAAGTATTTTAACCACTACCAAAGCTGTGACTTTAAATTAAGAGCCATGATGTAGGTGCAGAGGTAAGGACAGGAGCAGCACTAGGAAGTGGGATTCAGTATGACTTCCTTCTGAGATGCACTCCTGCCAGTAACTGCAGAACCAGACATGGCCCATTAGGTTTTATGCTAAAGATAGGAGCAAGGGGAAAATACATGAACTATATCACTAATAGGTTCCCACAAAGCTGGGAGTACGCAAATGTTTGCGTTAACACCCTTAATGCACGATGTGCACAAAGCAGAGAACCAGTTTAGTTTCTTCAAGTGGATATATTTATGACTCTTTTCTGTAATAAGTAAAATTGTCCTGAACGTCTTTCAGTTTATAGCAGCTGTTCACTGTCAAAACCAGAGTTTAATGTTATCTCTGTGGGCCGTGCTTAGCTTAAGTTGTTTTGTTAAAAATTCTTCTGTGTTCAAAGTTAAACTATTAGGAAAATATTAAGGTGTTAATACAGTACAATAAAACAAACTTTGCGATACTTACTGGTGACGTGGTCACAGGCACAACTTGAGGTCTTATTAACATCTGTTCCCTGTGATAACTGTTTGTCAGCTCAAAGGGCACCTTAAACAAATGAACACATTTTTATTGTTACTATTTTTACAGCAAAAATGACACAAAACTACTTTTACAGAATAATGCTTTTGTGTACTTGCACAGTTTTATTTTCAAAAGTAGAAAAATAATGTATGTGCTTGTTTTAGTGTTGGTATGCTCTTTATTAGAAATAACTTCAAAATAACAATATTTACTTTGCAGTCGTTTCCTGGTTCTTCTGTGTTACTCATTATCAAGTGTCCAGAATCTACTGGGCCCAGGCCAGGATCTACTGGGATCAGCATCTTCTTATACTTACATGACACCAGACAAGTAAAAAGTAGAAAACCTGAACAAACATATACATTGTTGATGCATTGTCAAGATCATATTGATAATTGGTCAGTAATGAGGATTTTTAACCTACCTGCAAACAGTGTCGTGCAGAAAAAAAATGTTCCCAGAGCTGGTCCTCTTACTGTGGAGCCAGAAACCTTTAGGTGTCTGCAGTTTGGTTGTGTTGCGTTCAAGCAGTCGCACACAGTGACTGACAGTACGTGGACAGCAGTCTTTCCTTGACGATCTGACACTTCTATCAGCAGCTCATGATGACCAGAATAAACTGTATTTTCTTTCACTAGGCTGACTGAATACCCTGAACATACAAAACAAGCATAAACTTGGTTTGGTTGTAAGAAATATTGGCAACAAACTTCATTAACTAGCTTTACATTTGGTGCTTCTTTGACACTAGTGGCATTTTAGTGTGTTTTTGACCTTGTTGAGCGATTGAGCTCACCTTGGTTAGGTTCAACCCTCCACTTGTTCTCAGTATCTTCAAGAAGTTTGAACCTGAAAGGCCCAGAATAGGGTTCTTCATCCAGGTCCAAAGCTGTGATATTGGCATGTGAGGTTTCATCACTTTGACACATGTCAATAGTGTTTACAGTCAGCAATGGAGCGTTGTCATTCACATCATTAATATGGATGCTGAGAGTTGCTGTGCCTGTCAGTGGAGGCTCACCTTGTTTGCAGACACACATGTTGTACAATATGAGTAATGCGATGGCAAATTTATAAATGCAAGGAAAAAATAATAAAGTATACCGTCTTCAACTGCATAAATTGTGGCTACATAGACTCCATTTTGAACAAAGGGAGACTCTCGATCTAAGATCTTTGATGTGGTTATGTTTCCTGTCTCCGGGTCCACTGCAAGACAACCAGCTGGATCCGCTCCTTTTATGTATCTGAAATACATGCCAGCCATTTTATATTTACTCTTGCAGAATGTTGCTTTCTGGAAAGACTGACTTGTAGTTTTTTTCATTACTTACTTTATTTTATTTGCACTGCTGACGTCAGGGTCTGTAGCAGAAAAGGTCTCTAAATATTGTCCCACCTCGTTATTCTCAGGCACAGAAACTCGTTTCTTAGATGGGTTAAAGACAGGAGGCTCATTGACGTCCTCCACTTTTATTATCACATTATAGCTGGATGTGTCTTCTTTGCCAGCCCCTTCACTTCTTTTCCCAGCGCCGCTAAAAGTGATCTCATTACTTGTTTCTATTGTCCAAAGACCAGCAGAGTTGCGATTCTTCACTTTGCATGTAAAGTAAGGGATCTCATTTTCTACTGTGATAGTGATGTTCTTCACAGGACCATCTTCAAAGTCAAGCTGCTGTTATAAAAGTAAAATATCCAAGTATTACTTTTAAGACAAACCTTTAATGTAACCTCCTATTAGTATTTTTCAACACTTCGTAGCATTATCTCTAAATCAGCAATTTTAAAACAAAAAGATAATTATATATATATATATATATATATATATATATATATATATATATA